TAACTTTTATAGTTATTATTTCTTTTTCTCTTTTCCAGGCTGGGCACGCTCTGGAGCATGCGGGGTGACTACCTTCACAGTTAGCACAGAGGACCTCGTCATGACTACATTCATCAGCGCTGTGGCTGGTTGTGCCACACTTAGCACACATCAGCTGTCATCGGCAGCTCTGGGATGCATGACCAAATCGCTGGCATTTGAAACAACGCCTCGGGTTTGGAATGAAAGGTCGGACATGGAGTTTTGCATAGCCAGTTTCGAGAGTCTCAGGTAAAGTGGTTGAATTGAAGGTGAGTATCAAGTGCTTTGTTGCTATTTCATTGTTGTTACGCCTGATTTTGATGCGCTGGACATGTATCACACCTTGGTCCTTCCATCCATCGAGAAGCTCTTCTTCACCCAGTGTCATCAAATCTTCGTCCGATACCACGCCCTTCACTGTATTCATGGTACGATGTGCGCTCACAGAGAAGGGGATGTTACCAAAGGCTACAAGGTGCGAGAGTTTATTGTACTGTTCTTTGTCTTTTAATTCGAGAAGCAGATCACCAATTGCCATCTTCGTGGCCTTATAACCGGTTCCAATGGTCTCTCTCAAGCACTTGGCTACAAGGAAGGGTGAGATTGCTCTAGCTTTTGTAGATGATTGTTCGCAGTGAAGGACATGGTATTTTGGGAAAGTTTCTCTGTTTTTAGGCCAAAGTAGTAAAGTTGCGTCAGTGCGCACCCTTTTCGAGGCACGATCAGTTAGAGAGGGGGTCGAGGATCCCATGGGAAAATGTGGATTTTTCGGTAACGGCGCCTACCACCCACCACGGAGTCCAACAAGGGGACGTGGCAGAGCATGTGGGCATGTCTGCGCAACGCCAGCAGTACGCAGTTACTATAATCCAATATGGTTTACCCTAGTTTGGATAGCCACACAAGGTTAACCCTTGCCGCCAGGAAAAATTGGAAGTAAAATGAAGTGAGGAGAAGACAGGAAAGATGTAAAGTGAGAACAAAAGACGAAGATATAGGGAGAGAGAGATAGGAAAAGGCGACTGCCGATTTCTCCTGGGTGGGTCAGCCCAGAGGTGCCGTCTACGTGAAGCCAGGGCCAAAGGGGTGTGTTGCCCCTGCCGGGGGGCCTTTAAGGTCCAATCACCCGGCGTCGGCTCAACCCCCAGGATCCCCTTTTCCCCGGACACGGCAAAGCCACGCACGACGGCTAGGCGTGGGAGGGAGTCAAAACTCCCCCGTTAGCTCGGGTCCGTGGTGTCGCTACACACCAAACGCCTACTTGCGCAGGCGCCCCTGCAGGGTTTCAAAATTCCCCGACTTTCCCAGGTTTTCCATGATGATTTGAAGCAAATTCCATCACCATTACGTCTCCTTGGAAAACTCTGTGCACTGTAAACTGACCCTCGAGTGAGAAAAAAATCAGGCGCTCCTATAAAAAAGTAAATAAATGTACCATAACAGCTCAGAATGCTCTGAGCATGTGTGACAAATATGAAAGGCATATGTACATTTGGCCAAATTGAAACCTCCGAGTGAGAAAGTAAGCAAGTTAGCCATTTATTGTTTGGGAGAACCAGAAAGCAAGCACACCAGTTAAAATTAACTGCAGCTAAAAGTTTAAAGAAACACACGAGAGTTCTACAATGCAGTCATAGCTGCTAGACAATGCAGAAGTGGCACCATCTCGTGGCACTTGTGTAAAAGGAGGACGCAGGAGCCCGGTTGGTTCCGACAATGGAATATGTTCGTGTTCACAGTAATGGTTACAGCCCAGGCCGCTTAGGATGTGGATTGGATTAGATCGACCTGTATTTACCGACTTAACTATTTCGGATGTGGATTGAATTGAATCTGACGCGACATGAATTGCTGTATTTACTATCGATTCGCATCCCCACCTAAATTGCACACCTCTGATATATATCTTCCAGGAAAAAAAAAACACTAATGCTCGCGTATTCTGTGCATCTTGCGTTGAACAGTTGACTAACAACATCGCAAGAACAGAGCCTTACTGCATAATTTTCTTTCATTCTATTCTTTCACACGATGAGCACATGCATGTTGATGTTTTATTCCTCTGGGCTCTAACGATTAGAGTTCGACAAAGCCCTCAGATGCCTGCAATGAGAGCTAGGGGTAGCGTTTCAAGCGATGATGTTTGAACATGTGCTGGCAAGAAGGAATCTGTCAGGGCCCAATAGCTCCCTCGATTCCATAGGTTTATCACAGATGCCGGTCGGTTACCTTCATTTGTGTACTCTTCTATGGATATAAGGCTCAAAAGTAATCAAAGATATCATAATACCATCTAAAAACTGAAATGAGATATTCAGGTGAGGTTATCCCTTGAAACTCGAGCTACCAGCAATGAGTGTGCAGCTAAAGACGTTTACCATTGAATCGCAAATATTAATGATGACAGTAATAATAATAATAAAAGGCATGACAAAACCTGGCAAGCCTCTGCTAATGGCAGCCCTAGCCGAACCACAATGCCTTCAAGCTGAGTGAAATCAGTCAAGACGAACATGCACAAATTTAACGATGTGATTTATGTTGTGGTTGGGAAGTCAGATATGCTGTGGGATATGTAGAAGCAACAGACATCAACATAGTGTATGTACGAATATGGAAGCTAGGGAACGCTTTAGACAACGTGAAGTACAAGTTGCCAAGCGAAAATTTCCAGTCTTTTTTTACTTTAGGCTGACACAATTGTGACAACCAGTACATCTGTGAGACCACTGATTTCAAGGAAAGAGTTAACCCCCCCCCCACTCATTCAATTTCACACAGAATCAACCACCTACAAAAAGTTTGCATTTCTCGTTTAAAAAAAAAAAAACATGAATGTGTTGTCAGGAAACTACGTGATCTCATATGCCCTGTGAATTCTACAGGCTACCAAACCGACTGGTCAAGTGTGCGTGTTCTGGCCAAAGGAAAGCTTGCATCACGCCTGCACCTGACAACTGCATATATGCTGAACAGTAGTGATGGGACGCTTTCAATAATGTACTTCCGGTGCTTACGTCACGTACTTAGGTGTACTTCATTTCATTTTTTACATTTTCGGTTTATTGTTTTAAAAAAAAGTTACAAGATCAACAAATATACAGGCAATGGTGCCAAAGTAAGAAAACTGTAGTGGGACGCTGTGCCTTTCTTATGGCTATTTTTGTGAACAAGGCTCCCATACTGGGTGCCGTAGCGGGTGCCAAGTCAGTAAATTTTGTATTCTTTTGGTAAACCTATCCTTTCGTTTATTCACTTAGAAGTAAGAGTTGCGCACTGCTTTTTTTTTTTTCACACAACTTTTAGCTGTTCAGCATATAGAAGCAGCCAAAAGAGTGAATTGCTAAGATTTGATCTATGATAATGCTTCTTTTTGTGATGGTCGAACATGCTACAGTCAGTTTCCATGACCAGGCCAAATTTTTCAGAAATTCTCTGACTTTTCAAGAAGGGTCCTAATTCCCTAATTTTTTCAGGTTTTCCAGGTTTGTAGACACCCTGATTTAGGCTTACAATCCCAATCAACCTAATGAAGAACCTTTCGCAGCGCAATCGTTATAGAATTCTTTTCATTGTTGCGAGATCTCAAGTAAGCTTTTGCACGTTTAAACCTTCACTTGCATAATGACCCCACTTACAGCGCGTGGTGCCTAAAACGGAAGCTGGCATGTGCTGCGTAACAATATGCCTTGTGGCTCGAGGGAAAAAAAATTCGTCTATGTATTATCAGCAGTTCTTCAGAAACGATGAGTTTCCATGCTACAGTCAACATGTATTATGGACCTAAAACCTCATTCTAACAAAATTGTGTCTTGCAAAAAAATCAGTATGTTATACCTTGAAATTCGTTATAAAGGTTATTTCTAACACTGTATTTATTCATAGACTATTTTTCGTTTGCTTCATTGTAACCAATATTTTGTTATATCCATGTTTGTTTTATTGAGTTATTATAATAATCAAGATCAACGTGCATGCATTCTAGACCAATTATAACGAGAAACAGCGTATTGGTAGCAAGACAAAGATGGGAAGTGGTTTCTGCAATGATATGGAAAAGGCCAGGTGAGTTTTCAGCACTGTCTTATAATTCGTTTAGTATGATCATGTCTTCAGCGAACACAGTTTCGTTCGCAGCAGATGCGACACACAGTAGCTCCATTCTTACTTTGGGCAATGAACACGCAATGATAGAAAACTAAAAGAAGGGGAAAGCTATTGAAGATGAAAAGCTTCAACTGTGGGCTGCATGCTGGCATAAAGCTCATTTGCTACATACAATGTGACGGACCGATGATAAGACACCAGCCTTATTCCAATGGAAAAATTAATGTCAAGTACATTGCACGCTGGTGGTACAACATGTAAATAAGAGATGGGCTCAGACCAGATTATGGCCTAAGACATGGGTGTATAGAGAAGCAGTGAATGAAGCGAATGACAAAAATTGCGGATATTACACTGCTGTTATGCAAAATAGGTATTTGATTTTTGCATTCGTCAAGAAAATGAAAATGCATTCGTGTGATAGACACTTTTGTATTGTTTTCTATATACTTTCAAGAATTTGGCGTTCGGTTAACTTGGACATGTTTTTTCCAGTCCCATGAAATCTGAATTAACAAACTTTTACGAAACTTCAAATTTCATCAGAAACTTTAAGTTCACTCCAAAAAAATTGGAGTACACTCCAAGGTCAATATAACGAACCCAGATATAACCAAATAACAGCTAACAAAGTGAATTAATAATCTTGCAATAAATATATTGTTAGAAATGTACCTATATAATGAATTTTCAGATATAACGCCCCTATTTTTATGTGAGATGCAACTTCGTTATCATGAAGTTTGAGTGTACTGTATATTTTGATCGGATACTCAATGTATTTAAATATTCATTTCATCACTCATGCAAATAAACAAACAATATAATAAACAACCAATCGGCTTATCAACTGGAAAATATAAGAAACGCACCTGGCACACATTGCGGCGACGACCATCGAGTCCAGACCGCCGGAGAAGAGAACCGCCACGGACGCGTGGTTGCACTGCGGGGTGTCGGTCGGACCCTCGCGATGCCCGTGCACACACCTCTGGCACACCATCATGTGGTTAGAGAGGCGGCGGCGCACTGCTTCGAGCAACACACCGTCCAGCTCGTATAAGGCAGATTGTATTTCTTGGTGATTTTCTACAACCTGCGTACACACACAAAAAGAAACAAAAAATGCAAGTTTACTAGTTTGAACGACAAGCACACATAACATCATTATAATGAGTTTGTAATTACCTTGGTTACACTGGGCATTTATAAAAACGTCAAGGTGTGCAGCGATATATCAAGGAGATGCCCCCACCCGAGTAAGCACTCCCTGCACTTCACGGCAAACTTCAAGTACGTGCGAACATAAAATCATACCGTCTAACATAAAATACCCATGACTACCCAGGATGGTTTTCATTTTCATTTTATAAGCAGACCGCAGTTACGTAAACCACGGTTTGGGCTGCCTGTGTAACAAAAGTGCTGCACTCAGTTGCGTCCTCCCCATCACCGCTTGAATTGCGGGCATACGGCTACGCACGTTTTTTGACGGAGGGGCTGAGTACCCTTGATGTTGAATTGTAGGAACTATTCACTTCCCACCCTTACCCCCCCCCCCCCTCCCAAAAGGTGAGGGACTAACAGGCAAGCCATTCGTAGAAGTACATTATCGCTGAATTTTGTATTTTTCCTATTGGTAACAAAGCTAGCCTTTCTTCCAGACACGACCACTTGTGGGGGAGAGAGGTGGCAGATGCGAATACTTGCCCCCCTAATGTCGAACCCTGCGCACGCCTATGCGGAAATGACCTACCTTTCTCACATTTATGTAACGCTGACATTTTTAAAACATGTAAGCATTGCACCTTATTGACACTGGTATAGTACCTTTATTTATACCTCCTCTAATTGGTTATCTAGTGCTCCCTTATCAATGGCCTAATCTGCTGATGTAAGGACTTTTTAAAACTGCCTAATTTTTTTATGTTAGTGTATCTATGCCTTCTTATACTATAATGTATCAGTTTTTTTTCCTGACTTGTACTCCCTTGTAACCCACTCCTGTCTAAGGTCTCAAATCCAGACTGGCAGTATTCTAATAAATAAAACAAATTCAGTGAATGTGTGTGCCTATCTACGTATGAAACACACTTCACGTGATCGTATTTCAAGTAGTAAAAACATTACATATGGCCGTGTTGATATGGACGTATTACCACTATTGTTGCTCACATTTCACGTAGCTATTTACAACTAATAATACGACTTGCGCCTTCTTTCGTTTTATATTACCGTTTTCTACATTTATTATACTCGGGGACAACTTTCTGTGGCAATGAAGGGAAAACTATTGGGCGGGGCTACTGTGCATGAAGTAGTCCGGTTCGACTAGTACTTCGAGTGACAGCCGTGTTCTGAATGATGCCGCTGCATAGAATTTGCTATATCAGCTAACACAGCCATTCGTGAGTGAAATTCGTCACAAATTCCTTCGGCGAGATGTCTGAATGTCTGGAGGGCGACGACCGCTCAACTGAAGGTGAATATGCCATATGACTGTGAGTTGCACCTAGAACGTGCAACATTTTGAGGCGTGCGGAAATGCAAAATGAAACTTTATGAAGTAACACAAATATTATCATCTCCTTGGTTCGTGCAGCATCTCTTTATAAACAGCGTGCCGTATCAAATAAAGTAATGTTGCTTTCTATTACAGCCAAAGCTGTTATGAGATCCCAACTCGGGTCACGCGCAGTTGTTTGCCACCACTGATGTTTGTAATCACATAGCGCGAAATTAGAAAAAAAAACCTATGACTAATGACACAGTTGGGCTGGAATCCAGTTCCGCTGGGTGCCAACCCAGTATTCTATCACTGAGTTACCGTATGTACTCGTATAAGGGCCGCACTTTTTTTTAAAATTATTGTTTGGTGCGGCCCTTACACGAATCACGCTGATGACAGCTCATCAAAGGTCTGTACCGTTTTCACAACAGTAGCAGAGTGAAAGAGTCACGAATGACTACCCAGGATTGTTTTCATTTTCCATTTCGCTCTCACTGTCTTCATCACCGGGAACACTCGCCTCGGCGTTGGCACCCTGCCAGAGAAGATCATACTCAGTGCCACTCATGCAGTTTGAAATTTCGGTTCTTTGAAGCTTCAAATGATATGGCACACCCAGCACTCAAATCCACTTACAGATTTGTTGGAGGGATGCCCGCTTCAGCCGTCCCGTCGGCGTCTTCTCATGATCGCCCCCCGCCATTCATTCCGAATAGCAGCGGTGAAATTCTGCTTTAAATGGGCGTTTAATGCACACATCAAGCGACTGCAACAGGCTCGTCAGTCCTCCAGGAATAACGGCCAAGTCTGTATGAGTCGTGGCGAGTCTGTTTTTGACGCGTTCCGTCAAGTGGCCCCTAGAACTGTCCAGAACGAGGAGGGCTTTCTGCTGTAGCAGACCTCTAGGTCTGTTTGCCCAGACAGTCTTCACCCAGTCTACGACAAGTTCCTCGCACATCCAACCCTTTTCTTGGGCACGCACAATGATGCCCTGAGAAAACTTTTCTTTTCTTTCAGGAGAGTCTTCCTCTTGAACACGATGTACGGTGGAAGTTTCCTGCCGTCTGCCATCACGCACAGCGTCACAGTGCATCTTTGACGTTCTGCGCCGGTGGTGCGCACAGTAGTTTTTTTCGTGCCTTTCAAGTCCACTGTGGTGCTGTCTGGCGCATCGAACCACACAGGAGTCTGGTCCGCATTGCCAATTTGGGAGAGGTAATATTCGTGCTCCCTCCGAAGACCATCCACGAAGCGATGGAATTTTATCACTTTACTTGTGTACTCGCAAGGCAGCTTTTGACAAAGCGTCATTCGGTGGAGGATGCAGAGCTGGTTGCGGTTCGTAAACCGTATAGTCCATACCCGACTTGCCTTGAATTATGTCTGAAAGCTTTCCATGTGGAGAGCGATGTTTAGGACTTTCTCTCGTATCATATCAGTTGATACGGGGTAGTCGTCCCTTGGAGTATCGGAGTTCGCCTTCCAGTTCTGGATATTTGCACTTGTTCCCGTGAAAGACTTTTTGGCTCCGGTTGGTAGCAGCGAGGACATCTTTCTACTTCATCAAATAACACACGCGCTCCTCATCTACATGGTACTTGCATCCAGCTTCGCGCTTGTCGCGCTCCTTGGCATATTCAATTACTTGCAGTTTAAATCCTGCAGTGAACGACCTCAAATGCCAACCCATCGTCCCTCAGCTGCACTGGCTCAAAGACACCGATTCGACAAAAACGTGTTGACTCGATGCGAACGATGCGCCACACAAAGTAAAAATGACGCAGCCCCGTCCGTCACCCGGAGGTCCGCCACCAACACAACGGCGGAAATGGAAAAACTGGAAATGCCATCTGGTCCACAATCGAACTAAGTGCACCTTTATGATGGAACTTTTTAAATTTTTTTCGATTTTTTTTTTCAAAATTTCTCTCTCCAAGTAGAGGTGGATCCCTTACAAGAGGGTGGCCCTTACATGAGTATATACGGTACGCTGGTGCTCGTAACTTCTTGTCAAACTTGCCTTAGGCAGGCTTGACCTAGCACCAATGACACAGTGGGGCTCGAACGCGGGTCCGCTGGGTGTCAACCCAGTATTCTACCACCGAGTTACGTTGGTGCTTGTAACTTGTCAAAATTGCCTTAAGCAGGCTTGTCCTAGCACCAATGACACTGTAGGGCTCGAACCCGGGTCCACTGGGTGCCAGCCCATTATTTTACCACTGTGCTATGCTGGTGCGTGTGACTTGCTGTCAAACTGTCTTATGCAGGCTTGATGTCGGGAAAGCAATCAGGTTAATATGACTTATAAAGTGGTTTAAAGCAGCGAAAGAAGAGCCAGTCGTCGCACCATGTGTATAGCGTAACGAGTGGGCTGTCCAATGCATCGAACTATCACAAAAGCTTGTTCTTGTTCCCCTATTAACTGTGGCGCATACCCACTTCAGCTATATTTCCTCATCGTCGTCAGCCACTGCATGAACAATTGGCACAAAATTCTTTGCAAGTGTTTAGCGGACACCATGCTTCCCAGAAGAATGATGAAAAAATAGCATAGCGAATGCCGGCCTACTACTCAAATAAATTTATTATTAATGACCTAGTGAGTATCAAGCAAGTGTGCTTGCAGGTAGTTACCCAATGAGTGTTTCGAAAATTCTCTGAAAGGCCCGCTTTTCTAACTTTTGCTGTGACTGTACTGCACCTTCCGTGCAGGCCTGGGCACTTTTACTTTCATGCCGAAAACACAGACAAATTTGTGGGACTATATGCTTCAGCGGGGGCACACGCCCACTTTGGTTCCATAGCCTTCCCTGCATTGCCAGAGAAAGTTGTCCCCGAGTTTAGAGTCATTTTTTCGGTAAGTATGCGATCCTTGACACATACTAATGTTGGCTTGTGTGGCCTTGATGCATTTCTGTGTATACCATATTTACATGATTGTAGGTTAACTCGAATACAGAGCGGCCCCCCTAAAGTTGCACAGCAAAAAACAAAAAAGGAGCACAAACACACTTTATAAAAAAAAAGTTATTTACCGTCACTGAAAAAAAAATGAAAGTCGAATTCCGGTGTGCCAAGGTCGCTTCAAGGCAGTGCTTGAAAGCTGCGTAGAAAATCTGGCTTTGCGAAAATATGTGGAGATACTTTTTACAAAGACTTTTTCACCAGAACTAGTCTTCAATTCCAGGTCAACCCTCCCCCACCCCTACTTCTGATTTCAAATTAATTTAAGGCAAACTGAGTCGACCTGCGTTTGTGTAAATAGGGTACATCAGGTTTTAGCGGCGTGAAACGAGGATGAGAGGAGGCGCGCTCGAAACCCTTGCCGCTCCCCCGCGTAGCGTTCGCAAACCAAATCTCTTCCTTACCCTCTTCAGCCTCCCACCAAGAGGTCACGTGCGCGTGACGTGTCCGAACAAGCCCACCCCCCGAAAGTGTGAGCGGCGTTGCTTTGTTGGCCAGCATTATTTTGCGGTATACTGCCTGTTTCTGAGGGATCGTTTTGAAACGCTGGTTTAGACGCGGTAGTATAGATGAGCATAATGAGTGCTCGAACGCGCAGCAACATTAATTTCTTTTCCGCGACAAACGTCTGCTTGATGCTCTAACAGCGGGGACACGAACACGTGCGAAATGCAGGCACACTAGCCCCGCATCTCGTCGCCATTCATTGAAGAAAAAAAAGTGGAATAAATATGCGCCTATTTCCTTATTGCATCTCTTTATTTATCTCAGGTTTTATTATTCCCTTCAGGCAACAAAGTAAATAAACTACGCATGTCGTGTTAAATAATTTTCGCCATGTCACATACTACTGTTGGCAACGTCAGAGCACAGTTGTCTACGTAGAGGACCAATGTCACTGCACTGCCGTGTATGCAGGGCAATTCATACGTGCACGTCATGCCCTCATTCTCTGGGCACGTGCCCGAGAAAGGAAGGAGGAGCAGTGTTCACCTTGAAATTTTACCTATTTCCTGCGGCCCGTAGCATTGCCGATTTTGGGCAGATGTGATAATGACCCCCCCATTTACGCATTGCTCTTGTCAGCGCAAAATTGTCAAAGCTGGTGTGTGGCCCTTTAAGAATAACTATTATAGTGCATTTTCCGATATAACAAACTTATTTTTTAGCAAGATGCAACTTTGTTACAATGAGGTTCGAGAGTAAGTTCAACATCTAGCCAAGACACAGAGCGAGCAAAAAACGTGCCTTCTTGAAGAAGTCTCGTCCGAGGGGCGGCATGGGTGGCGGGCCACTGCCCAGCTCCTTGTTCAGAAGACTGCTGATGCCGGGATCAACAGAGCACACCAGGGTCGGCTTGAGGGGGTGCGAATTTGACGAGCAGGGCTCAAAGAGGTCTCCCGCGGGTAGCCGATGCCACGGGAACAGGCGCAGCGCACGGCTTCCCTGACACAAATCCCGATTCAGGTTGAGGCAGTAGATGCCATCCGCTGGTAGCTCTCTCCAGATCTGCAAAATGGGGCGTTTGAGTTCTTTATAGTCTTTACTTCCTGCAGTCGTCTACATACACTGGACTGTAATACACCCAAGGCAATTCCATTATTTCAAGATGGTAATAGCGACTCACCCGGCAACTACTGCCACATTTCGCAAACATAAATTTGGTGCAAGCTTCTCGAGTACACCATTGGCTCCCAGCCATCTTGAGTCAAATAATTTCTTTGAATATCAACATGGTTTCCGGAAAGTGTTCTATTACCATACTCAACTATTAAAATCTATGTAAGATTCACATACTGGCATGAATAATATCAAAATTACTGACTACATCTTTCATGACTATGCAAAAGCCTTTAACTGAGTTGCTTGCAGTCATCTAATAGCTAAACTAACTGTACTTAGGACTTACTGATCAACAGTACCTTAGCTTTATAATTTCTTATCTAATTGACAGCAGTTTACATTTGTGAATAGGCTTGTGCGAAAAGCGAATTTTAGGTTCGAAGAGAATTCGAAGCTAATAGCAATTTCGATAGAATGATTTCTAATTGAATTAAAATAGTATATATGACATATAAAGAAAAATGGGCATATTTATCATGACCTAACTAACCTGCACAATATTTTTATTAATTTAAATAGGGCCTCTATGCGAATGCCATTTAATTTCTTCCTTCAAAGGAAGTCGGGACAACTTTAAGTAGCAGCAGGATTCGGCTTTTACTGGATGTAAGTGATAACCTTTCATATACATAACATATTACAATTTACTATACTTAGAGCATATAAGCCGGCATAATAAGCTTCAAAGAATGATGAAATGGTTTGAGGGTAATATGTTCATTTAAAGGGGCCTGGAACACTTTTTCAAGAAGCCATGGAATGAATTCACTAAAGAACCTTATTGCCTCATGAAGTCACTGCCGCAAAAAATTTTTAGAATCCATTCAGTACGAGCGGAGTTGGAAATATTGTCGCATGCTGCAACTGCATTCTCTCTTCTCGTCCCGACAAAGAAGCTGGAAGCTAAGCAGGGAGGGATGGGATGTCACGGAGAAAGAATTTACTTCACATGTGCTTTCTGAGCATGTGGAGTCATTTGCCAAGAGAAGAGAGCAATCTTTAGCTGACTTTGAGAATTTATTGTGAATCGCACAGCCGCGTGCTGTGACCGCGTGCTGTGATATTTGGCTTGAGTGTCCTCGGTAGCCTTGACTATCGATCGGCAGCATTATCTGACAATACTCAAAATGTCTTGCAGGGCCCCTTTAAATTTGTAGGAGAGCTTGATGGCAAAGCGGATTTCTCCTGAATAGGTGCTTTCATGGTTTAGCAACCATATGCTACAGTGAAACCACCTTTACAAGCTGTACATTCGGAATAATATGCATATTTTAGTTTCTTGGGAATACTAAGAAATTTTCAATAATTTGAATTCGAACCAAAGTGAAATTCAAATAACCTAATAATCATTAGAATATTCGAAGCATTCGAATAATTGCACAAGGCTACAAAGGATTATTAGTGAACATCCGAATATTCAAGGAATTGAGTACAACTCAGTGAGCAATGGAAAGAAAAATGATACATGTAACCTTAGAAGACAAGAAAAGAGAGTGGGTCAGGGAACAAACTGGGGTTAGGAATATCCTAGTCGAAATCAAGAAAAAGAAATGGACCTGGGTTGGACACGATGAACGTAGGCAGGATAACCGGTGGTGATTAAGGGTAACTGACTGAATTCACAAAGAAGGCACACACACGAAGAGAAGACAGAAAGTTAGGTGGGCTGATGAGATTAAAATGTTTGTGGGTATAACGTGGAAACGGAAAGCGCAAGACTGGGTTGATTGGCAGATCATAGGAAACGCTTTTGCTCTGTAGTGGGCGTGGTCAGGCTGATGACAATGATGACTAAAATGAACAGAAATAATGCCACACCGCATGAACAGAACCTAAAGTCACGTCTGGACTCATTATCCCAAATTTGGTGATAATACGCATTTGTGGCTGGTGATTATATGGACTAAATTAATGGAGGTCTAACAGCGAATACAATTAGTGATCAATCGGTGATATGCCAGAAACAAGCACCAACATGCATTCATCCTTGCAGCGAGTCTTCATTTTGAAATATAAGACACTACTTATGCAACAAAACACGTTGGTTTTCAATGCAGGACTTGATCCATTACTGCCGAGTATCGCGAATTCGCGAACATACTGAAAAACGTCGAGCAAGCAAGGCACAGTGCCATTTTAAAGTGGCCCCGAAACACTTCTTCAAGTAACCATGGAATGAATTCACTTGAATAAGCTTAGTGCCTAACGAATTCAATGCCGCAAAAATTTTAAGAATCTGTCCAGTGCGAGTAGAGTTACAAAGGTTTGTCGCACGCTGCAATCGCGTTCTCTCTTTTCTCGTCTTGACGAAAGCGCTGGAAGCTAAGCAGGGAGGGTTGGCAGGGCCACAGAAAAACGTCACGCGTACTTTGCGACCTTGAGCACTTCTTTTCCATTTTTTTTTCCTCAAATGCGCAAATTTTCAGTGTAATCGCGCACGCACGCGTGGTCAAGTAGCAGCCTTTGCGACGATATCTGTAACAAACGAGTGTGCCATGTTCAAATCAGCCAATGGCTATAGATGGGTCGTTGATGTGTGGTTTCTGGGCATATAACGTGACTTGTCGAGAGAAGAGAAACCAATTTTTTAGCCGACCTTGATCATTTACTGTGAATTCTAGGCCGTGTGCTATGCTATAATATTTGTCTCGCATGTTGTCGTAAGCCTGTACTACTGATCGTCAGCATTTTCTGATCATGCTCAAAAAGCGTTGCAGGGCCCCTTTAATGCCGACTGTAAAGTATTCGCGGGGAATCTAGTTTTCAGCATGAAAAATATAGCACCGTCTTGTTCAAGGTATTTTGTGCTAGAACTAATTGTTTTGTAGCTGAAGGGGGAGAGCGCGAAGCGCGTGCGACAGCTCTCACTTCTTCATTCTTTCTCGCCTGGGTGACGCAAGTACCATCTTCAATAATTTTGTTTACTTGGTGTGTACGCATCCAAGAGGTGGCACAAGATATGTTACGTGGTTCTGAAGTGTGTTTTTTTTGTTGCAAGGTCCTCACTTCTGTGGCATATGCAGAATTCGCGACATACATAAAAGTACACATTATTGTTGCACTTTAGATGATTGAATGCAGAATCATTTATTGGTTGATATTTAAAGTTGGAAAATGAAGATAATATTCATCTTCTTTGGCATTTTCATACTTCAGGTGGTAAAGGGTTAATACAATCAAAATTAACAGTAATCAATGATTTGCATTTGCTTGCATTTCTTCCATAATGACCCCGTGAACACTGTTCACACCTTGGCCCAGGGCTTACACCCAGCGTCAGAATTCTCAACTGCTGAGAAATGCTGCTATTTCATTGTTTTGCATCACTGGTAAATTTGGTTTCCTTCGGTTTGCAACACGCTGTGATCACTCTTGGTTGACATTCGTGAGGAGTGATGAAAGCCAGGGGCTCCCAGCTCAAGTTAACCATTGTGCGTACCAATGCACACGCATTATTGGAAGCTTTCACTCATAGAAACATGCAGGGCTGTGCTGGGACCAGGGCGTCAGTTCTAATGAACTGTAAACAATAACAAACCAAGTTGGAACTAACAAGCTTCTGCTGTATAAATGAAAACTGACACAATTCTTGAAACAGGAGACAACTAGTAAACTGATTTTGCGTAGACATAGAGATAGTCATACCTCATCTGGCAATGCATGCACCACTGACGCAAGAGCGAGTCCATTGTTGTAGATCCGATACAGTAGACTTCGACGTCCGAAAACGTCACGTCCGAACCAAAGCTGCTGCTTGTCGCTCTGTAAGTGAAAGAATTTTTTTTAAGCTTTGAAAATGGGCACAAGTATGTCAAAGATCTACAAAGCAGAAGATTCAGCAAAAACATAAATGGGTACGTTTGTTCAGAATATGTAGAACAAAAGGTGGCCAATACCACATTTATGTGTTCATGCACAACTGAGCAGCATAAGAAAAAAAAACTTATTTAATTAAAAATAACTGCTGTTAATGTAGATTCGAGCATTGGTAAACTACCCAGGCAGGCATGCACAAAGTTAAGTTCGATTCTTCATTTGAAGCTCCCATTTTCTTTAGACGGCTCTAAGCTCTCATATATAGCTTAGAAATGTTGCTTCAAGTTCTACTCTCAAAGCAACCCAGTTTACCAATTCTAAGTCTACCATCATATTGTTTGAAAGACATTGCACAAAATTTTGTGGTTCAATAATTTAACTCTGTTATCTCAGAATACTGTTTAGTTCAAAAAATTTGTGCAGTCTTGTATTTTATAACACAGCTTTGAGTGGATAATTTGAAGTACTATTTGACCAACTCGGTCAGTTGCAAAATTCTGGGTGCTATGTGGCTCTTTCCAATCCCTATTTCATCGCAAAGCTGCAGAAATGGTGGCCCTTTGAAGTCACAAGGCAATGCAAAATAGTGACGCATGTGACTTATCGGTAAAGACACTCAAGCCTCACTGCTGCCAGTCCCCCCAAAAAAACGGTAACCAGTATATGGTGCACCTCATGGACAGCTGAAATGTGTACCTGCAGATATGTGATTCACGGCAATGCAGCAATCACGTGTGTACAACTGCTCCTCACAGCATGGCCATGCAACCATGTGGTCATTATTTCTGGAAGAACGGAGAAAAAATAATAAAAGACAGTCTGATGGTAGTATTCTTTTTGTATGCGGACCTCTGTGTGACTAATGCTACGGCTGACGCTGACAGCAGAGTTGTTTATTGCCTGCAACACCTACTTCGGAAACCAAGTTCGAAAACTTCGAAGACCATGCTTTCCAGGTTCACATTTGCAGAACATATCATGAATTCTGTAAGACTGGCCTTCATTATATTAGTTGGTATTTTTCCAGAAATAATGGGCAAATGCTCACATAATGAAAGGCTGACGCTGCCAAGAGCTCATGACACGATCCCCATAGGCGTGTGCACAAGGGGGGCAGGCGGGAGCGACCCCAGTAACCTAAGGAGGGAGGTGCGTAATCTGCCCTATCATCATCATCATCATCATCAGCCTGACTACGTCCACTGCAGGACAAAGGCCTCTCCCATGTTCCGCCAGTTAACCCGGTCCTGTGCTTGCTGCTGCCAATTTATACCCGCAAACTTCTTAATCTCATCTGCCCACCTAACCTTCTGTCTCCCCCTAACCCGCTTCCCTTCTCTGGTAATCCAGTTAGTTACCCTTAATGACCAGCGGTTATCCTGTCTACGCGCTACATGCCCGGCCCATGTCCATTTCCTCTTCTTTATTTCAACTATGATATCCTTAACCCCCGTTTGTCCCCTAATCCACTCTGCTCTCTTCTTGTCTCTTAAGGTTACATTTACCATTTTTCTTTCCATTGCTCGCTGCGTCGTCCTCAATTTAAGCTGAACCCTCATTGTGAGTCTCCAGGTTTTTGCTCCGTAGCTAAGCACCGGCAAGATACAGCTGTTATATACCTTCCTCTTGAGGGATAGTGGCAATCTACCTGTCATAATTTGAGAGTGCTTGCCGAATGTGCTCCACCCCATTCTTATTCTTCTTGTTACTTCAATCTCGTGGTTAGGCTCCGTGGTTATTACCCGCACTAAGTAGACATAGTCTTTTACAACTTGAAGTGCACTATTACCTATCTCGAAGCGCTGCTCCTTTCCGAGGTTGTTGTACACTACTTTCGTTTTCTGCAGATTAATTTTAAGACCCACCTTTCTGCTCTCCTTGTCTAACTCCGTAATCATGAGGTGCAATTCGTCCCCTGAGTTACTCAGCAATGCAATGTCATCGGCTAAGCGCAAGTTACTAAGGTATTCTCCATTAACTCTTATCCCTAACTGTTCCCATTCTAGGCTTCTGAAAACCTCCTGTAAGCGCGCGATAAATAGCATTGGGGAGATTGTGTCCCCTTGCCTTACACCCTTCTTGATTGGTATTCTGTTGCTTTCTTTATGAAGCACTATGGTAGCAGTTGATCCCCTGTAGATTTCTTCCAGAATGTTTATATATACTTCATCTACGCCCTGATTCCGCGGTGTCTGCATGACGGCTGATATTTCTACTGAATCAAACGCCTTCTCGTAATCTATGAAGGCTATGTATAGTGGTTGGTAATACTCTGAGCATTTCTCTATTAACTGATTGATAGTATGAATGTGGTCAATTGTTGAGTAGCTTGTTCGAAATTTCGCTTGTTCCTTTGGTTGATTGAATTCTAATGTTTTCTTTACTCTGTTAGCAATTACCTTTGTAAATAGCTTGTATACTACAGAGAGCAAGCTGATCGGCCTGTAATTCTTCAAGTCCCCTATACATTGCCCTAATCTGGCCAATACATTGCCTTAATAGGGAAGGGGGGCGCTGCGACGAGCCATTGCGCCCCCCTGAAGGAATCCTGCGCGTGCCTATGACAATCTCTGCGTTTCACCGCTGTGCTGCACTGAAGCATGTTTTCTCCTTGAATAGAACCTGTTGTTGGGCGAGTTGGTTACCCCGCTCATGTCTTCTCCGCAGGTGTGCATTCTAACCCCAATATGTAGCATTAACGAAGCCTTTGTTGTCTCCTTTTTTGTTTCTTGCTTAAAGCAATGCAAGGTCATGGTGCTCCGCCAGCAAATATTCAACGTCTTTATGGGTCATTGCCTTGCGGCTCCAAAAGGCCACCTTTAAATGGAGTCTGGTTGAGGTGTAGAGGAGAGTTTAGCCAATGCCTCCTCTAGAAAGATGCCAGCCGGGTGTACCAAGCACCTACTGCCACTCACTTTCTTTTTTTCCTTGCTTTTAACATAGGCGGCAGCTAGCCCCTTGTAGTGGCTGCGTGCAACACACATGCATGGACGCACACACCATCACGACCCCACTGAATACAAGAGCGGAGAACGTAGCGCCATCTCTCGAAAACCATCATTGTAAGCCTCTAGGTTTCCACTCCATAGGTAAGAACCGGTAAAATGCAAGCGGTTACATTATACCTTCTTCAGCGATGGTGGTACACTACCGTTAATTATCCAAGAATGCCGAACAAATGTGCTTCACTCCATTCTTGTTATTCTAGTTACTTCTATCTCATGGCTCGGCTCCAGAATTGTTGCTCCGCCGTAAGTATACTACACGTATTCCTTTACCCCCTCCAGTGCCTCGCTAATTATCGCAAAGTGCTGTTCTTTACCAAGACTGTTGTACATCAACTTGGTTTTCTGGATATTAATATTTTAAACCTACCATTCTCCTTCCTTTATCCAATGCAGCAATCATGAGTTGCAATACGTCACTAGAGTGCTCACGCACTATGCTAAATTTGGCATGTGGCACTCTTGCATAAGAAACGTTGCTACGCTATTTCATGCAAGCATGTCATCAAACCAACAGCAAGCAGATCATGTATTGCCACCTAGAGTGATAGCGTACAGCTTATGGCCACATCCCAGCAGTAGCACATAAAAATGAGGCATACAAAATAAAACATTGTTGTTTGCTTACTGAGAACTTCGCTCGAAACACAATAGTGGTCACGAGGCACGAATCGACGCAGTTCGAAAACGCTTTGAAGTGTCGGCTGACGACGAGCTCGCATTATGTACCAGGTACTACGTACACTACGTTCTAGGCTTATTGATGAATAACACCTCGACCCGCAGCCTTCACAGCTGTGTTGCAGCGCTGTTTGTTAGCCAGTGCAGCTGTACACAATGGCGTTAGGCAGAAACCTACCCGTTAAGCTACTCTAATGTACCTGGAAATGAGCCCAAGATTGATTGTGAGAAAAATGAGTATCTGTACCTTAAAGTAGACAAATGCCCATGGTCCTTCTATACGTGACATGGTGTTCAGCAAGTCAGAATCACAGGTACTCTGCGACAGCCGGTGAAGGAGGACAGTGGTGTCGCACTCTTTGTCTGGAACCTGTAGAGATTGCGCCTGCAAAAACAGAACTTTTGCCGAGTTGTGCTGGTTGCCACTGCTCAACATTTAGGTAGCCAGCAGCTCGAAAGGCTCAATGTGTATTATAACAAGCTCGTATGCCTACTGCAAAGGCACACTGAAAGAAATATGTTGTTCTGGTGTGTGTGTGTGTGTTTTTTGCGATATGTTCCCGGGGACCTGTTAGTCACAACATGGCATATTGCTTGCTGCAGTGCACAATTAGACAATTACTGTCTGTTCACTACGAACAAGTGTCAGTTTTGGTACAGAATAGCATTAAAAACAACAACATTGCATACAACTAATGCATCCTAACAAAAAAAAACATCGTAAATAAACTAGACGAAAACTGCAATGCACTTTTGCACTGCACGCAACACTGTTTAGGTAGGCAACAAAAAAGTGGTGCTCACTCAGACATAAAACACATATTTTGCCCTTGAGGCTCACTAAGACAAAAAAAAAAAATGAATGACAAGGTGAGAAACCAACACACTGCCTGAACCTGCAGCTCTACAGCCTAAATGCTTTACAACTTAATTGATTTGATTCAAGCATAGCCCAATTAAGATAACAGCTAATGCTCTCAGCTAATGAGAGCATTAGCTAAGATATACCAGCTAATGCCCGCCCTCAAGCCACTAGACCACTTGCAACCCCATTGGGACGTTAAACCCCACATATCATCACCACTTGCCACCCCCCCCCCCCCCTGCCCAAGCTAAATCAACACGCCCCCAGTTAGCGATGATGCGACACTTGTTTTAACCCCTCAACACGAACTCCTATCGATGTCCATGTCACCAGACGTAGTGCAACACGCAATTTTTGGTCACAATGAGGTTTCTACAAAGTTGAGGTCATGCCCTAGTCATGCATAAAATTTGGCAAACAATAATGGCAACAATCTTTTTGTTCACTTGCTTATCTTACACAGTATTGGCATCAAAAATGGCTAATTTTGTTGAATTTTCACGACACTTCAGCCCATATTTCGAACGTTACATTCCAGCCAGCAAAATAAAAGCAGAGCACAAAGAAAAGTGGGCCGTAAAAAGACGGGATGAGTATTTTCTTGCCTTTCTATATCCTGTATTTTTGTGTGCAGTTTTTATATTAGCCTTTTGTAATACGTTCTGTGGCGCATCCTTACAATGCAACAGAGCCACAGTGGTCCATGTTAGGGCAGTGGTACTCTTTCAATGGCTCTTCTCTGAAACGTGTATCCAAGTACCAAGGCTGCACCTTTCCACCCAAACTTTCTTGGTCAAAACCATAACAAATACATTTGTAATAAAGCTTTGAAGAAACTGTGTAGTCTAAATTGTACATTGAACAATGCTCCACATGAAGCGAAATTGCCAACATATAAATCACTCATCCATCCCCTACTCAAATATACCTGTTCCATCCAGAATCCTTATAAAGTATCCCACATTAACACACTACAATCTGTTCAAAAGAGAGCCATCTGTATCATTTTCCGCTGTAATGACTGGAATTTCTCACCTTACTCCCAACTTGCTAGGCTAAATCAACAAACACTGTCCGACCGACGCGATAGCAAATCCCTCAAATTGTTGCATATTTTCATTATTGCTCCACACTACACATCGCCTAATAAATATCTACCTCCCGTCAAACTGAAACTCACAGCCACCAACTCAATGTCACAATGTTTCAACCACGTACTAACCTATTCAAATTTAGCTTCTTTCCGCACACTATTGAAAAATGAAATGTATTGCCTGGTTCAACTGTATCATTGCCTTTAGATTTCTTGCATGGATGTATTGATCCGTGCTTTGTTTCTAAAGAATTGTATTCTTGTTTGTTTGTTTTTTCCCTTTCTCTGTTCCTTCAAGTGTTGCATCAGCAGACGACTTTTCTGTCGTCTGCTGATGTAAAACAACAAAAAAATACCACCTACAGTAGTCCAAAGTGGGCTGTAGTATGTAAAAATAAATATGCAAATTAGTTTTTTTTTTCTAGTTGTGTCATGCATTCTTTTTCACAGCAATATGCGCCACCTCTAATACAGTACGCACACTTCTCTTAAGTGAATTTTCTTTGTTCAGCTTGGAGTCCTAATGAATGGATGGTGGGTAATGGTTTCAGAATTCAAAATGTTAAGACCATTAACCAGCTTACTCGGGGATATATTCTATTAGGTCCAATTTCGGAAGGACGCTTTATGTCTACGCTTCCAGAAATTTAACTTTCAACAGTTCGTTAGAATTTCACGCGAATAAAAATTTAGAAAAGAAAACAGCCCTTACTTTGTCGTTATTGAAGATCTCTCCGTTCCATGCCAGCATGTTCCCTAGCTCGTCCTTCGCAGGTTGCTGCGTCAACTGGCGGCCCCTGAATCCCAACACTGTTGCAGTGAGGGCAAACCAGGTCGTGTTGGTCAGCTTCACTTCTTCCCGTCGAATCCCCTCTGGGCCCCTTCGTATCAGAAGTTTAACCGTCTCGCAGTTCTGCACGGTGGAAGGTACGAACCGTTCTGTTCCGCAATGGGTGAAACTCGCAACAAAAGCAAGAAAGCGCCTCAGAACTACTGCCAGGTCGCATCTTTTATTTGGATGTGCTGCAGGCCCATACGTTTCGTGCAGGAATAGATACATGAACAGTTTATTAGAGAAATAGAGAATCTTTCGTAACTATTGGAAAGAGCGAAAACATGGACGACGATTGAGCTTCGCCTTAAATGCAATAGCGTAAGTGGACCCCATTCGGAACACCTTCTCATCTGCTAGCCATGCTTCGCTTTTTGGAGGCCACCTCAACCGTGTCGCGAGGAAAGGAACATTTTGTTATTTTACACAACCCTATACTCCGTATCACCACTACGGTTCAGCACTGTCAAAGCTACAGGGTGCAAACAAGCCACATGGCAGGAAAACACAGTGCGAGATATAATTGCCTTGCAATAGCAAGGTTGAGACATTTGCCCTTGTTTAGCATCTGCTGCTGCACATCATTACTAATATGTTCATCGCATTCACATTGTATGTCTTTAATTGTTATATCAGTAAACACTGGTAAGAACGGTTAAAAATCAACACGGCAGCACCCATGTAGACTCGACCGTCTGCTTCGATCTGAATTTGCCCTTGACACTCACAGCAACATATGAATGGTGTAATGAGCAATCACATGTCACAATCAGGACAAAGTATCAGGTAGGCTCTGTCCTTATAGCCAAGATAAGCTGTTTCTTTAACCACGCCTGCCAAGCATAACACGCTGAGAATTCAATAACGATTCATAGCGCAGTTAAGTGACAAATACATTGCTGCTGAAGCACCAAGACATAAATCTAAAGCAAATACAAGCGTCAGTTTGGAACTTACGAATGATAGAGTGCACCGCGATGACGTGATAAGCTTGAGGCGGAGGGCATCAGCGTCGTTATGTGCAGCCATGTTCTATTTTTTTCAATGCTGCCCTCTGCTGGCCGAACATGTGCGCGCAGATGCCAGGGGAACGCCTAGCAGATCACGCAGTGCGGATGAATACACGAGGAGGGGCTAATTGCCCTTTTTATTGGCTAAAGGGCCCCGTAGCCTCCACAGCACTGAATCGAACATCTGAGAAGGAGTATAGAATGCCTACTGCAAGTACAGTTGCAAAGTGCCCACTATGCCATAATCCATTATATCGCAAATTAGCGAAGTACCTACCAAATTTTTGTGAAGCATTATGTGCACTTATCTGTGTGCATAATTTGATGATGCTGTGTTACTGATGATAATGATTAAGATGCCTGAGCACTCTGTAAATAGTAAGCCTTTAAATCACCCATTCATTGCACAATTCAGATAGTGTGATGCCCTCCGTGAGTTTACACTTCCGCCATGCAACTTTACATGTGCTGACATGGCTCCTAGCACTATATGACACATGGATAAGGTGCCTAGCCAGAATAGTTTCAAGCACTGACGTAAGTATGAGATGGAACATCTGCTTGGCACGCACAAGCCCCAGGTTGCATTCTGGTTCGAAACTATGATATTTATTTTCATGTTTAAAGATTTTTTGCTAGCGGATGACTTTTCACTCTCACAACCGACAGTAGATGTGAATGCCAGCACTAGAATTTTTGCTAAACAAGCTCTTTTAATTCTATGACATCGGAATTTCAATATGAGAGTTCATACATTAGATGTGGTCCACAAAAAAAATATTGGTTGACAGTTTAGCTCTGGCCAAGCACCAATTATCATCACGCACTAGCAATGTTCCTTTGCACGTAGCTTTGCTCCTAGGTCGTTGCTAAGCTTTAACTAGGTATTTTGATTCTCCGCACCGAGAGGTTTGAGATAAACCACAGACAGTCCCCAACGCAACAAAGACACGTCGTCATTGGCGTAGACCTTCCACTGCTTCAGGGTCTTCTCCCGATGAGTGTTCCCCTTTCCCAGTATTTTATCGAACACAATCAGGCCCTTCAACTCACCACCGTTGCCTTGCAGCCATATGTTGTGCTGACGGTCACCTTCTTTGTTTTTGTGGACAAGTGGTGAGCTTATGCTTCAGAACTTGAGTTTAGCCTAGCTGGTGCTTACTATCTTGACTGCACAAAGAAAGGCTATGACAGCGGGACTTACCACGACATGGGCGGTAAACCATCTGCATTGTTCACCTACTAACAACAATGACACTGACGGTTAACTTCCCTCTGTCCTTGTCTTGCTTAGTGGAGTCGCGATGTTGAACAGCGCTGATTAGTGGGATTTGCCCTGTGGCACATACTCAGTTAATTTTTTTGGTACATGGCAAAGTAGAAAGATTCGCTAAGCAGCTTCGATGATAGAAACTGCATTTGTTTGAATTATGCAGGAACTCGAGCCAACACGCTTCAACCGTAGCAAGCTTGCTTTAAGGTGGCGAAAGGTGGTCGTTCGCAACAACTTCACACAAAACGTTTCTTCCTTCAAGCTTTATTAGAACACAAACATTGAGGCAAGAAATATATATATATATATTTATATCCTCCGAGCTACCATCCTGAGGGAAGTGTCTTATCAAGATAGTACATGCTGACATCCAGCGTGCAAAGGGAGAAATAAAACTAAGAGGATCACCTGTTGTACCTTTCCACACACTTCCACGTTTGATCATATGCACAAATTTTCCCTAACTATGTACACACACAAGAATAAAGATTGCAATGTAAAAAAGGAGTGTTTAACTGTCAACTTTCAGTACTTCCCCCACCTTTGCCGTGGTCAATCCACAACACTCCTTGTATCGAAAAAAAGAAATTGTTGGACCATACTACCTATCAAAGGAAGTGCTTTTGCTCATTTACAAGAAAAATAAAACTGCTTTATTATGTAAGGCCATCAGCAGACATGTGCAATGCCTCTGCTTCCTGCAACGCTGCAAGCAGTTGATGCTTCTATACAAAAACCCATGCTTGTGTATCAAGCCCTACAAGTAACAGTAAGTACCACTTGAAAACACGAAAAAAAAAAAAAAACAAGAACAAAGCTGCTCTCACGGTGTCTTTAATTGCAACATCACTGTGCACATTCGCCTCCCAGCCACTGACATATCAGAACAAAGCGGAGGGAACTTGCCAGACAAACGGCAAAATCTGAGATCACCCAATATAGCAACGGATGAATTAAACATATAAAACTCTCAAGACTGCCTCTCAACATGATAAAAGACATGCCCGACTCACCAATATGCAAACATTTCAGTTTAGCTTCTGCCATTTCGAATAGAACAGGCAAGCGATATGCACTTGCCAACAATGCATAGCGAAGAACCCCCCGTGGCAACAATTTTGCGTTCTTCACCCGAGCTCCATGCGTTTTTGACTTGTATGTCAGCTGAGAACAAGGCAAAGACACTTCAGACACATGCCTACTCCATCTCGTTTTCACTGGCCGTGGTAAAGGTTTGAGTAGCGCTCTACAGATCATGGGCAAACCAGACCAGCCCAGTGCCAAATCTAGCAACCATATAAAAACAAGCAAACAGAAGTTTTATCAGCAAATACCACCACAGTCATTACTCATCCATGTACTCAAGATAAAAGTGATAAGGAGCTTCACAACAAAAAAGAATCCTTCTGCGGTGAAGTTTAGGACGGTGTTTTTGGGGCGTGCGGGCAGAGGCAACATTCGCCGTGGGCGTTCAGACACGGGCGTTCCTCGAGATAGACTAGTCCTTATATTGGCATGCCACTGACTTCATTACCACTCTACAGGCATGCTTTTCAGTCAGATAGTGGACCAAAAAAAAAAAAAAAACACTCTCCATATCAAGTTTGGGATACATCAAAGTGGAGAGCACTCACTTCAGTCAAAAACAAAGAGCCTTCAAAGGGCTTTCCCATGCAAACATGCCAGAAAATCAACAGTGCTGGCACATGCACATAAACTTTCGCCTCCAAAGGGTTACAAAGTGCACAGAATTAACACGCATCAGCTGTGCCCGCATTCTGCAAAAAGTATGGGCAGAGGCCTGCAACGTGCTTCGGTACCTTGCCCCAAACAAAACAGCCAGCCTCCACAGCGCAAAAATAACTCAATATGTTGCATTGTGAAGTAGCCATAACGTGACCTGAAATTACACACTAGAAACGAATCTCAACCTTTCACGCTAAAAAAATAATAATAAAGGTTCGCACTGACGAGATGAAACTGCACACAAATCTAACTTGTACGGCAAACAAGCACTTGCCACAGTCTTTTCTCGTGTACATGCCATCAAGTTGTCGGAGAGAAAAATGCTGTTCCTTCACCAGCTTAAGCAGCCCATAAAGACTTATCCAAGCATTCCCTGAAAAAGCCACCAAAATACACCCACTCCGCCCAAATGCAAGGAGACAACACTTGTCTAACTCTTGATTGTGGTTCTGCAACAGAGGCAACATGCCCATCCACCTCTGTAGGGATAAAGGGGAAGAAAAAACTTATGACAAGCAACTTCACTTTTAAGAGGCATGCATCATTCAGAAACGTGAAGAAGAAAACTAAAGTACCGAAACTTTTTTTTTTCTCATTCACACGTGTTCTTTCACCACAGCAGGCAGGACACGAGTGTTGATTGCGGGTGTTTTGCAGTCCACTGCGGGACAGAGTGAATTCAAGAGAGGTCATTTAATAGGCATTGAAGACAGGACGAGTTCGCTGCATTTTTAGTGCTACAGTGCACCACGGGAAAGGAGAAACGGAAGAAACACGACAATATCTGGCCAGATGAAAGTACAGAGCGATTTGCCCCTTCGTCTGGCTGGCTCGCCCGTCTTCTCTTCCCCTGATGTGCTGGACCAGTTCAAGTAAGGAGAACATATCTCGGGCGACAGGAATCATTTGTAATCAAAGAACAGCGCTTTATGTTTATTTTCATTGAAAAAAAAAAAAGCCTGGAAAAAAGATGGACAGACGTCCTTAACACGGGGAGCTAAAACACCAGCATAAAGAGGGGAGGAGGTTCAACATATTCGGCGCCTGCTCCCATCTGTCCAATAAAGATAGGTCACCTCTTTGCAAAGCAGCAACGACAATCACGCACGCAAGAGGGAAGAGAAGAAACGGTAAAATCGCGTAGGTGCTTCGTTTGTTGTGTCGGTGAGGAGGGGTAGCTAGTGACATCTCAGTAGCGGCGGCGCCTCCTCAGTACCGGCTCCCCATGTTCTGTTGGACCGCGGTGCGCGCCGCTTCGGCGGCCACGTTCGCGGCTGCGCCCTGGACGTGTTCGTTGCGAAGTACGCCCGCGGTGAACTCCTGCTGCGCCTTGGCGAAGGAGGCGCCCGTCGAGCGGTACAGACGGTGCACGCGCAGAAGCATGATGCCCGACCAGGCGGCGTTGACCGCGTGGCCCGTCGCCACGATGGTGAGGAAGATGCCGAGCGCGATGGACTTGCTGAACGCGTCGATGGCGACCACGAAGCCGGACGCTCCGGTGGTGCCGATGCCGACGGCGTAGATGACGCTCACGATCAGCTGGACAAAGAAGACGAAGAAGAAGACCATGAAGTTGAAGGAGGAGTCGGAGCGGAACGCCTTGTACAGCGGCCGGAACCAGCAGAGGAACGAGAGAGGCGCGAAGAGGATCATGTAGAGCATGGAGAAGCCGAAGTGCGTGGCGCCGCCCGCCATGACGAGGATCGCCAGGCCGCCCAGGAAGTTGAGCACCAGCACGAGCACGTAGAAGATCCACAAGTAGTAGACGGTGCGCACTATCTTCTGGAATTCGAGCGGGATGTCGACCCCGATGTCCTGATAGAAGCAGGGCGCCACGCAGCACTTTTCCGGCAGCGGAGGCCAGTTGTTGGCCCGCGCGTTGAAAGCCGCGCCGCGGAGGGCCTCTTCCCGGGCTTGCAGTTCGGCCGCCTTCTTTTCGAGTTCCTCTTGACGCTTCTGCAGCTCCGCCGTGGAGATCGTGGTCGACTGAGCACCGCCCGCCGTGTAGGCCGGAGGCGGTTCCGCGACGGCTTGCATGACGGCTGGTTGGACGACCGCAGCCGGCGTAGCCGCCGTCGAAGGCCTGTACTGGGGCGGACTCGTGGTAGTCGGTGGTCGTGGTTGCGCCGGTTCGGCGAACGGGTTGTAGTCCTCTAGGCCTAACCCGGACTGCGCCTGCTGGCTGCGGCTTGTCACTTGCGTGACGGCCGGATCGGCGAACGGGCTGGGAGCGTGCGGGTCCGCGAACGGATTGGAGTCCAGGCCCGACATTGTGGCGGGGTAGACTTACGCAGTCACGCCGCTCGTGATGTGGAACGCGCCCGGTGTTGGTTTGTTTTGGTCTCGCCCGCTTTCGTTTCTTTTTTCTAGGCCGACCACTCGCCGAGAGGTGGGAGTTCCAGCACGGAGGCCCAACAGATCATCTCGCGTAACCTCGCAACAACTGCGCCCAAGAAGTGACGACGAGAAATACTCTCGAAGCCGGACGAAAAACGGCAAGCAAAAACGCTGCGAGCGCCACTGGCGCTGCGGGAAGTGACGTCCACGTCCCCCGGATGCGCGTCACTCAAATAGCCTAGTATATAAAAATAGTGGCGAAAGCGCCAATTGCTGCGTAATGCTCATGTGGGGAACTGCCAAGCCGTGGCGCTACAGCGCCAAAACCATAGCCATATCAATCCTTCTATCCATACGCTCCTGTCACGCGGAAAGCGCGCGGCATGTCTTATACCACTGCAATATCTTGCGTTAACCTTCTATGCAAGTCACTGGGTCCCCGGAAACTGTTGTTGAAATTTAACTGCGGAGTGAAGCGTGAAACTTTTCCGTTTTCCACGCGATAGTTTGCGGCTGGGGCGCCAAGACAATGCAGGAAGAGCCTTCAGCGTCCGCGGGATGGCTGCTGCTGTGCCAGTGGTGTTCTTTATCGTGCAACATCCTCCATGACGTGCAATAAAATCTAAGCACAAGCGCCTCGAGCGTTTCGCCTCCATCGGCAGGCAGCCACCACAGCTGATTGCGCGTTATCTTAGCAAAATAATACGAGACAATTTCGAAGTTTACGAAACATTGCACGGCTTGAACCAAGCTGTGATGGTGTTTTTCTTTTTGGGGTATGGGCCCAATTACACCAAAATGAAATAAATAACAGAGAATGGTAGTGGAGTCACACAAATCATCGCAGGACAACGCCGCTATTCATACTATTGTCGGATACAGCTATGATTACCTGGCAATCAGTAATAAAAGACGATGGGGAGGCCTAAAAAAATAGAAAACTACTACAACTAAAATAGAAAAGTCCTTTCATTTCAACCATTAAAATAGTGAATAACTTCGGATACGCGGCACATGTAGGCGGCATTCGTATTGGCCATGACAATTAAGCATAAATTATCGTCCTCTACACAATAAAAAAATAAAAACCTATCGGAAATTGCTCTTCGGAACGTTTATAAGAAACAGGGACCGTTCAATTCATAAAATCAATGTTTGTGAAGCCACCTTCCTAAAATATTTTAAGATGGTTTTTATATAGTCCCATTATTATAATGCAAACTTAATTGGGTCATTTTAACAAGCAGTAAGTTGAATGTTTGATGCTGTGTACTCAATGCACGCCAACATAATGACATAATTGTGTGCCAAATAGCCTTGGCAGAAGAGTAAACTCACGTAAATGTGTAGCAGCAGATATGACGCAGACAGGTAAAAGTAAGTATACAACAGAGAGCTTATTTTGGCTGCGCTTTAGAACAAACTTACTGCATACACCAGACTGAAAAACGAAACAATTCGGAGCCCTCTGTATGAAATGCAAGAGAATGACAACTGAGGAAGCACTAATCGTGCTGAGAATCATATTGTAATTTCAAGAACTCTTTCAATAGAAATAGCAAGTGACATGATACGCCGAGACATCACATGTAGATGAGTGCTTGTTCTTAGATATAGCATCGGTACCGGCCCTGATAGTTCCACGTTGGAGATTGGCATCACAATTTGAGCGGTCATTGCTGCACGCATTCAGGTTCGTGGTGCTTGCAAGTGCTTAAAGGTGTCATAGCTTTCACACAACTAAAAAGAGAAAAGAAATTTAGACAGCAAAGATTCGAAGTTCTTTTTTAGGGGCGAAGCTCCTTATAGCAGCACCCGTTCGTCCCTCGTAGCCGTTGTAGTAGTGTGTAACAAGTATAACATTTTGACCTCCAAGGTGGTGCCGGTGAGAGATTTCTTCTGTGCGTTGTTGAACAATGAAAGATAGTGCTCAATGTACATGCCAAAGGCTGCTAAGGGGGAATGAGAGACAGTAGCATTCGGCTTTTAGTTAACGCGCACGCTGCGATCCCCATTAGCAGCCATTGGCATGTACATTGAGCACTATCTGACAGAAAAAAGGTTGCTACGATATACTCGCTGGGTGTAACCTCCTTAGTTTTAGAAAGGTTTAGCGAGCGTTGAGCCAGTGCCATGAATACAATTAACTAGTATATACCATGAACTCGAGGTGGTGAAAGGTGGGAAGTAGATACGAAGCGCTTGCCGTAAGAAAATAAAAGCTGAATTCTCCTGTCTCTCATTTCCCATTAGCAGCCATTAATTGGCAGGTAAATTGAGCACTATCTGACAAGAAAAGGTTGCTACGTTACACTCGCTGGGCATAACCTTCTCGGTTTTAGAAAGGTTTAGCGAGCGTTGGGCCGCAGTGCCATGAGTACAGTGAGCTAGTATATACCATGAACTCGAGGTGCTAAAAGGTGGGAAGTAGACCCGAAGCGCAAGCCGTAAGAAAGTGCGCGTGTGCCATCTCTCGTTTAGTCCTTGGAATGTCCGCTGGATGGCAGTGCTGCTATATGGGGAATATATGATGAAAAGATGCGAGACGGTATCCAAGTGCGGATTGCCCCGCTTGTGGACTGTTAGCAACATTCAATCATGTGTTGTGGGAATGTGAAGCCATCGGCCCCGCCCTCAACGAGGACAGGTGGGCTGCGCTCTTACGCAGCCCCGAACTTAAGGATCAAACCCTGGCCTGCCCAGAGTGCCCGTGAACGGGCCTGCCAAGCTCGGCTTGACGGTCCTTACGTGGGATTAGCCGGGTGGCGCGGGGTCTCCCCTGCGTCTTCTCAGGACAAAAATAAAGTTTTAATCAATCAATCAATGATGGTACTTGGAGTGTTGAATAGATGGACGAACGGACACACAGACGGACAAAAGCAAGAACGAATGGACGGACGAATACTTCGCCCCACTCTCCATGATTCACTCCGTGGATGTGCTGCTTTTTTTTTTTTTTTTCATCGGGACAGCGCGAGCTCTGTCGTGTAGCTCTGCTCCACCAAAAGGGACGCACGCCCCTCATATACTGCGCTCACTGGTAGAATCAGGCAGAAAGATAAGATTATGTCGCTGATGTGACATAATTTTACCAGCCTGAGAAGCAGAGTTCCGTTAGCGATTAATGTTTCGCACGGTAGCGCTGTGATGGCACCTGACTTGACAGACTCGTCTTGCGAAACGTATCACGATACAGGTTCGATACCCAAAAAGTATCTAAGATAGTATCTCTGATACATGTATCTTTGACACTACCAGCTGTGCGGATGCAAGATGCCCGACACCACAGAAACCAGGGCCAGGACGTTGTGAGCGGCATGTCATCGCTTCACGTCAGATTAGCTTCCATCACTCGGGCAGTAAAAGTAAAGCAAAAGCGCCTTTTTACCGTCAAAAAGTACCCCTCTCCAGCCAATTGTGGCGCGGCCTCATTGTAACACGCTTTTTCCGATTCTCCTCGTGAATGCGCGCGATGGCGGTCGGCTGCGACGCCACGATGACACAGCTATGCCATTTGCTGGATAAAGATTTTTCGATGGCGATAAGTCCCTTTTTTCTTCACTTGTATGCTCATCTTCGGTACTCGACCAACAGGCTGAGGGAGCTGAAGGGGGGGGGCTCTATTAAAAACTACCCAGTGTGCACGCTTATGTTCTTGTCCCCAGGGGCGTAGGCAGAAACATTTTACAGGGTTGGGGGTGCCACCTTGCTCTGGCGTGGGGGCCTGGCAGACTAATTGGGCCAAGTGTCACTTTGGGTTATATATAGCAATACGAAACAAATTCAGAGGGGGGAGGGGGCTGCTGACCTGAAAGGCATGGGACCGACACCAACCGCAGAGAAATGCTAGAGGTCCACGTACGATGCGATGACAGTGCACGCTACGAAGAACACCAGATGGTCGAAATTACCGGAGTCCTCAGCTACAGCGTCTCTCATAAACTTATCGTGGTTTTGGGACGTAGAACCCCAGATATTATTACGTAGTTAAAGTATTTCTGAATGGTCCTCTGTTTCTCCAGCACTGCCACAATAGTGGTTAGAAAGGTTCTAGCCACTACTGCCACGGGCGCAGCAAAGCAACGAGAAGTGCGGACTGCTTTATGCGGAAACAGACTCGAGCGCCCTCAAACAGCTCCCTGCCTGCGGCCTTCAAAGCAGCCGCTCACAGTCACGTGTGGTCGTACTATTCATAATATAGCCACTACAACAAATGGCCGCCGTTTCGCAGACGACTTTTCTACCAAGAACGTAGAACGACAATTTGTGCGCTTACACCACATAACTGTATCAAAAAAACTGCGTAATTCAAGTCACTGATTCTATTTATTCTTTTCAAGTCCAGATAGAACGTCTTTAAATATATGCGCACATACCAAACAACACTAGCAGCTCACATTCACCGCGCTAAATGACAGTCCACGACGATTGTTATAGAGCGAGATCGACAAAGGGACAAGAAGACGAGCGCATCTTCTTCTTGCCCGTTTGTCATCGTTCCTTCTTTTTGACCCTTTGTCGTCGTTTTGATCTCGTACTATAACAATCGTCATGTCATACTAACTAGTCCAAACCGCCACGCTTCTAAGTAAGTTCACATTCCATATCCAACGCACATATTAACAGGGATAAGCAGATTTTTTGGGAAACTTGGTTAATCATGATCCGCGTAACGACTTGGCGCGTCACATACGTGCAGGAGTTCACACGCAGGGATTATTTCAGCAGCCCTCCACTGGTTTGTTTCGACGTGTAAAGATGCGCGATTGCTACACATGTTACTTTTCTTTTTTTTTTTTACAGCTCACGTTAAGAAACTAAAGCATTTGAACGACAAGATCGCAAGCGCATCGAGTACACAAAATCATGCACGAATGATTATGTGCCAAGCGATTCGGCCGGCACGATTACACATAAATGTCATTATCACTCACCAACGAAGACGCGCAGCTTTTCCGCGAGCCCGCTGCACCAAATATGACGCAAAGTCCGATCCCGCACATGTTTGTACGATTTTGGTACGAAATGAACGACGATAGATGCAGAATTTAAAGGCCGTCAAACATCAACTCTGCCCGACGCATGGCTTGCAGTGCAGCTTCTGGCAGACGTACCAGGGGCAGCTCTAAAACCAAATGCAAAACAGTACAAACCATGTGGTACAAACAATCACTTTTTTATTTTTCTCCTGTAGCTCAACCGACTTTTTAAGTCCAAAAACTGTGGCGTTATTATAGATAGTTACTTTGTAAGATTAAGTTTTTGGCTAAAAATTTGTTGAATTGATTTTAAAAAAAAAGAACTATTTCCGTTTCGCCTTTTGAATTGCTGTTTACGTTGGCTGCTGTTGGTCCGCGTGTGTTGTGGCACGCACGATGTTTGCCGGTGAGTAGATTAGTTTCCGAAAGCTAAATTTCAAAAGCAAGTCACGTGCGCACAAACTTGTTCACGTTAGGAGTCTATTTTGAGCGCAGTGGCTGATTAACTGTGGACCTTCTTTTCGCAGGTGAAATTGACGACGTGTGCTATTTCGGAGTGCTGACAGCTTTACTGCTTCGTTGGGCGACATCGTTATGGCCTTACTCGGGTACGCACTCGATCAGTTCAATAAAACTTACCGTCACAGCCTCTCCTGTTGTCCCCAAGGCCATCTCGGGGGAGTTAGCTTTCTTTTCTATAAAAAAAAAGTAAGCCCGAGGAAAATGACCGTGTAAAGAATTTGTCTGCCTGAATGAAACGAGATCTGACGTGACACCGTGATTCCATCTGTTCGTTGCTATCAAACATTTTTTTTAACTCCTCATGTAACATCTTACGACAACGCTGCATCTTTGCCGACGACATAGAGCCTGTGAGAAATAAATAATAATTTTGATGGTCTAACGTGCCAAAACCCTTGAATACGAGTGACGCCGCAGCGGAGGACAACCGATTAATTTCGGACAGCTGTTTGTTACTTTTTTTCCCAACTAGCCCGTCATCAAGATGCAACAGGGATTCGAACCCGCGCCCTCGAGCTTTGAACTTTATTTATTTCAACATTCGGGATGCTGAGGGCCGTGGTCAAAAAGCCTCTAAAGGGCTTGACTGGGACCACGACCCCTTACAAATGGGCAGCATAGGCAACACCTTTATTGCAGTGACAATGTACAAGAATTTGAGCAAGCATAAAGTATAATAAGCATAAGCATAATAAAGCATGAAGATTGAAAAGTAATAAACTCAAAGAAATGACCGTAATTATTTCCTTACACATACGATATCAATAAGAGAGTGTAACGATGCAAGAAAATATGGGGCATGTGCCCATACGCTTACTACACTTACAATCAGAACAGTCACTCAAATGGAAGACGATATGGCATTCAAGTGAAACGGCAGGAGGAAGCGCAGCATTTCTTTGCCGTAGTTAGTGCGCGTGCGCGGGATAAGCCATGTGTGAGTTAAACGCGTGTTATAAAGAACTTTGCGGTGGTTTAGGTTGGCAATGGTTCCTAAAAGGTTGTCGCCTTTTAATCCTGCCTGGTAGCGTTTCACAAGCATTGCGCGGTAGTATTCAGGTAGAGGTAGCAGCTTCATGTCGTGAAATATGGGAGTGGTGTGACTGCGATATGGAGCATTTGCAACGGCACCAACAGCCCTTTTCTGTATGACGTGCAGTTTGCAGATATTTGTTAGAGTTGTCGTACCCCAAACCAGGTGACAGTAGTTGACGTGAGATAAAAACAGGGATTTATAGATGAGAAGTTTAACTGCCTTAGGTAGCGAGAAACGCACCCGGGATAATATGCCCGAAATCCTTGATATAGTGCCACATAGTTTTTCAGTGTGTGCGTTCCAAGACATGTGTTGATCGAAAATTATTCCCAGACACTTAATACGCTGTACTATCTCAAGTTCTGAACTGCCAAGTTTTAATGGGACATGACAAGGAGTTTGTTTATTTTTCGGCCTGAAATATACAGCTTTTGTTTTTGGTGTGTTAAGTTTTAAACAGTTAACGCATGTCCACGTGGCCAACTTCGCCAGTACCTCATTTGCGTCATTAATTAAGTTTGTATAATTTTCAGCAGTAAGAAGCAAGGTTGTATCATTAGCATATATAATACATTTCACAGACGTGTCAATTTTTACAATATCATTTATGTATATACAAAAAAGCAGAGGCCCTAATATGCTACCTTGTGGTACACCCGCTGAAATTTTTAGTAAATTGGAGGTACAACTGCCGACGACTACTTCCTGCTGCCGATACATTAGGTATGATTCAATGAGTTGTAAGAAAACACCTCGAAATCCATAGTGTGCACATTTCTTTAGCAGCATAATGTGATTTATTGTGTCGAACGCCTTTGAATAGTCTACGAAGATGCCTAAAGTGTGTAGTTTGCGTTCAAAAGCATTGAGTATAAATTCTTTCTGTTCTAAAAGAGCATGTTCAGTCGTACGGCCTTTGATAAAACCAAACTGCGAAGGAGTGATGATGTGGTGCTTATCTAGGAAAGAAACCATACGCTTTTGAATTAGTTTTTCCAGACCTTTTGAAATTACTGGAAGTATAGATATCGGTCGGTAATTGTTTAGTGCATTTTTATCTCCTCCTTTGTACAGCACAACCACTTTTGCAACTTGTAACTTTTGTGGGAAAATTCCGGTGGAAAAAGCAAGATTAAAGATATGCTCTAATAATTCAGCAATGATATCTAATACGTGTTTCATGGGCTTAATCTGTATGTCATATGCGTCACAACACGTGCTGTTTTTCACAGACGAAAAAGCATGTGAAAGTTCACCGCTGTTGTTGGCGCCAAAAACGCGCTCTCAGAGATACTGTCAGACAAATATGTGGTACAAGCTGAGTTGTACTGTTCCTTTGCTAGAGATACAAAATAGTCATTGAATAAGTTTGCTAAATCATCCTTACAAATAACGTCACCGTCTATCACAAGCTCAGTAGGCCTGAAGTCATCACCGTTACGGCCAACAAATTTGTTTAGTCTAGACCAAGCCAAGTCTTGTTTATTCATTATATCTTTGTTGAAGATACTGTTTAAGTACGTTCTTTTTTTGTAACGCAACAGGCTGTTTACTTTATTTCGCTGGGCTTTGAAACGTTTAAGCGTTTCTTCGTTCTTGTTTTTCAGGAAGTTTTCGAACAATTTATTTTTACGTTTTATTTCATTAAGACAACTTTTAGTCAGCCACGGCTTTTTGGCTTTGCGCGTATGCTTGAGCTGTTTGTACGGAAAGCATTTCTTGTACACCCTTATCAGTTTGTCATGGAAAATATCATAGGCGGCTTCAGGTTCTTGCTCGCAATACACGCCTGACCAATCGGTTAACGATATCTCCTTGCGAAATGCAGCTAGTGTATATTCATTAATATCTTGAATAACTATCAATTCTCTGAGTTGGGCTGGCGCACAGTTTACGGTTTCGTTTATCAGCATAAAGAGAGGAAGGTGGTCACTGATGGGTGCGCTTAGTACGCCGGACAAACATTTCGAAGCTTCTATGTTAGTAATGAACATATCTATTAATGTCGCAGTGTTTTTGTCAATGCGGGTGGGGATGGTGATAACATTAGAAAACCCATTGGATTCAATAACTTGACAAAGTTCTAACTGACTTTCTGATGGCTTTGCAACGTCGATATTGAGATCACCTGCAAGAACTAGTGTACTACCAGTGTCTCCAACCCAACGCAAGTATGTATCTAAGAATACTAAGAAGTTCGACTTGTTACCACTAGGAGGGCGGTATAACACACCATAAACAAAACCATCACTTTGTACAGTCAATATTTCATAATCATTAGTGACATGCGAAAACTCGTGAACCAGCCTACATTTTACTGAGTTTTTAGCCATCATCAAAACACCATCTCCTATTTTTGTTGGGCGATTCAAAAAGAAGGTTTCATAGCCGGGTGATCTTAGAACCTCAGATTCATCCCTGTACCATGTTTCCGTCATCATAAGAACATGAGGTTCAGAGCGTATAGTTGAAATAAGGGCGGTTATTTGGTCTTCTTTATTTCGTGCAGATTGTGCGTTGAGATGAAGGAAGGACAAGCCATTCTTTTTCGTGGAAAGTAATGCGCCTAATTTTTCGAGTGTCACGTAATCTTTGTCTGCCATCTTTCTCTTTAGGTAACAGTCGCTTTGGTCATTAACAGTGGCTATTCTCTCATTACTGAGAGGTCCTGCACGCTGACGATGACGTGAACTCGGCTGTCCTCAGTTTTTCGCACCTTGATGCGACCATTGTTCACCCACAGAAACTTCCATTGCTTTTCTCTCTTTAGTGAGAGCGCTTGTGCAAACAATCTTTTGTTGTTGGGTGTGAGGTGGTCATTAACGTACACATTGGCACCTTGTGACTGAGCAAAACCGAGTGACTCGGTTGTTAGATGTGCCCTGCGTGCTTTACGTAAAAATTCATCCTTCTTGACCCGAGAACAAAACCTCGCGATTATGTTCGTGTCCTTTTTTGCTGGCACGCGATGCACAGCGTCGATATCATCCTTTTTTATGGGACAGTCAATTACATCACCCATTTTCTGAAGAATGGTGGCGCAATCCTCCCCCTTTTTTAATGGCACACCCTTTATCTCAACGTTGTTAAGTCGCGAACGCTGTTCCATGTCAGCCAGTTTAGCAGCCAGTTCATCATTTGATTTTTGAAGAGACTTGTTTTCGGCTGAGGTGAGCTCATGCTTCTTTTTCATTTCTTCATAAAAAGTGCTGATGGCAGAGACACTTTCACGAAGCTGTTCAATTTTGGCTCGAAGCTGTTGCACTTCGCGTGACAGCTCAGCATTTGACGGCATCATATAAACGTAACAGTGACTACAGCACAATAACCACTGGCAGCAGCAGTCGCGACAACAAAAGTAGAAGCAAAAATCAGCGGTGCAATTAATGCACAACCAACCTGCGCAAAGGAAGAACGTTGCTCAGTGGACTCGACTTCCTGCTGCCACGACCGCCACTGCCAAAATGTGGCTACACGAGCACAGTGTTCAGCCTAAGTAGTGTCTCCGGTAGGTGTCCTCGCAGTCCGTGCTTGCGCAGAAAGTTCGTTCTTTGAGGCTGTAGCGACAGGGTAGTGACGTTGCTTGACCAGATATTCCAAGTAGACGGGTCGAGAAATCCAGAGAATATCCCGAAAGCCCGAAGAGCCGAACCAGACAACTGTCACGATATGCACAAGTCAGCACCTGCGCAAAGGAAGAACGTTGCTCAGTGGACTCGACTTCCTGCTCCCACGACCGCCACTGCCAAAATGTCGTAATCGTAATCGAACACCTTAGCTTCGTAATCGAACACCTTAGCTGCTAAGCTACCTCGGTTCGGGTGATGGAATTCAGGTTGCAAAACAGCTGACGGATCATGGGGGAGGCCTTTGCCTTGCAATGGGTGTAGTCATGCTGATCATGATGAAAATTTCGCCTCACTGTAAAGTCTATCCCATGAAGTGCATCAGACCTGGTGAATTTTTTTTTCCCATTTCATATGACAAAAAACTTGACCGAGAAAGATGTGTTTCTAAACTTTACTTTAGTCTCGTGTTGGTACACTTCTCACGCACACTCTCATTGCTGGTAATAACGTAACAGTTTTGTTGATTTGACGAGCCAAAATCACTACGCGATCATGAGGCATGTCGTAGTGGAGGGCTTTAGTAATTTTGACCAGCTGGAATTTTTCACTGCGTAGTGACATCTCACAGTACTACATGGGCTCCCAGCATTTCGCCTCCGTCGAAAAGTGACTGCCCCAGCTGGGATCAAACCCACAAATTTCAGACCAGCATCAAAGTACTGTACCCACTGTACCACCATAGTGGCCGTGCTGTGATCCATAATTACCATGTAGTCAATTGAGACTTACAGTTGGTGATCACGAGTATATCACCACGAATTAGACAACCTTGAGTTCTTTAATCTCGCCTCTGTGCTTTCCTGCATCTTCAGAGCACCGTCCAGACATGTTTGGGTGGCCGTGTTTTAATGTGATAGCGTTAAAGAGCTTGTTTTGTGAAAATTCTGGAGACGGTATTGCTTGTGAGTGAAAAATCGACATAAGCACAAATAATTAATTAGACAAATATTTGGTGTGAGTGATAATTGGACCCAGGTCTTTTGCATTGCAAGCACCTGTTCTACCATGGAGCCATGGTAGTGCTTTAAACTGCATCATAAAAAAAAAAAAACTCTATAAGAATTTTATGTAGTGGGAAGAGTATCCTCGTGTGTGGTATTGCAGGGCAGTACCATAAAGTTGCACCAGGCGGCAGAACACGTTAACTGCGTAATGAATGAGTGGTCTAAATGTGCCCACTTACTGTAAAGTGTGCAACTACACATATGCACACGACACCTGACAAGACACATGGCGGGTACTTCTCCAATTCGCTGAAGAAAGAATTACGACATAGGGCCCATCGCAGTGGTCCAGTAGTTTTGCCACTCGACTGCTAATGCAAAGGTAGGAAGATCAAATCTCAGCTGCATTTTCTATGGAGGTGAAAATGTTTGACACCCGTATACTTAGATTTAGGTGCACGTTAAAGAACCCAGGTGATTGAAATTTCAGAATTCTCTCGTAATAATTACGGCGAAGTGGTGCCCACTACGCCGTGATTCTAGGATACACATTCTGGGATAGCTTAAAGCAGCCAATGTTAAGCTCACAAATTTTTCATTACGTGAGGCACTGTTGAAAGCGATGCACATGGGCCCAATTGCACAATCGCGTTTAATCCTTGAAGGTGAAGCTCAAGCATCCTGCAAGTTCTCTTTCCTCTTACTGTCTCCCACTTTGGCTGGCATTAATTCCTGCTTCATTGAACTGGTAGCTCGCACGACACCGACACGAATTCCTCTCTCTCTGACGTGTTGCGGCCACAGTCGAGCACATCCGGGAGTCCTCTTCTTGTCTCACTTGGGACGTTAAACCCCACAAATCAATCAATCAATCAAATCTTCTTGTCTCATTTACAATCTCGTATTCACACTGGTGCGACGTAGTGTGATTTATCAAAAGGTTTGTTGGGTTGGAGCTAAAAGTGGGACACAATTTGCAGGTGCCGGCAAGCCACCCATGTTTGGAGACTACGAGGCTCAGAGGCATTGGCAGGAGGTCACTGTGAATCTCCCAGTCACGCAATGGTAATGACTGGTTTTAACTTTTGTGTACTTTTAGCATCTAGCACTTCTACTACTGTCTGAACAGAAAAGACCGTCACGCATCTTCAAAGTCGGAAAGACGTTGTCGTCTGTTTCTTGCGTGTAAAAGGATCACTACAACAACAGTGTCTGACGAGCCAGAGGTATAAAAATTGATACGAACGATTGTCCAGAAATGCTGAATATCGAGACATCAAGGCTGTCATAATGCCGACCAAAATTTGCTGTCATTGTACACTGATGACAAGAGGCACGATGCCATTGTTCAAAATAATGGCGACAGCTGCACAGTGTTGGCTTACTGTAGCCATAGCGGTTGTAGGAGTATATCAAGCCAGGTTTCCATCATGTCAATGTGTATTCACCTTTGCAATTATCAAACCTAAGAGCCCTGTTCACTGTTTTCATCATTACCCCTAGACATAATAATAAAATATCGAAAATTGGGCATTTTGCCTCCTATGAAGACAGCATTATAAGTGATGTCTCTGTTTTGTCGTTGTTACTGCTATGTCAAGCCATTAATTAAAGTACCAAATGAGAATTCCTTTAAATTTTGGAGCATTTTTTTTTTCGCTAAGGAAGTCTAGGTTTTGATAAAAGCTCGTCTGGCAAGGAAAAAATCATTGTTCAAGAAAACATACACTCGCCAATTAAGATCGATTTCTTTTTTTCTTTAATTGGTCGGTGTGCATTTTCTTGAACCACTTTTTTAACTAGTGATCAAAATGAAAACTCATTCAGATGAGTAGCTGTTATTATTGGTAAGTACTTATGTAGAGTATTTTGATGATTTCCAGTCTTGCATTCATTAAAGAGGTTGACCTAAATTTAGCATCAGACATTCGGGAGTGAAAAGTGTTTGTACACTCTTAAAGGAACCGACAACTACCCTGGACATGCAATGTGATGACTGCATGGGTGGAAAGATTTTCCCTGATAGTGACTCGAACCAACCCTGTTTTTCTTGTGAAAAGTGGGGTTATATATTTATTTCCTAATTGAAAATTACAAAAATAGCCTGTGGCACTACCTGGTGGTAGAAACATCAATTATCCGATGTACCCTGTCATGTGACCATAAACTGGTGTTCGCAGTCAACAATTTACCTGTTAGTATTGAAATATTGTTTGCTTCTTTAGAGTAAAAGACGTAAAAATGTACATATAGGCCTGTGTTAGTAGTACGCAATAAAGTGGAGCTGCCTTCGCATGACGTCATGATATCATGCTCGCCAGCGCGTCTTTAGCAACTTTTCCGCTTGCGCAAGAAACTGTGCACGCAGCTTCCAGGTTGTTAAGATTTTGGAGCGACATTGTTCTTCTGCCTACAATTTGTCTCAGAAATTATGTGTACTGCTAGTCGGCATGGCCGGGCATATGTGCAGTGACGTTTTTGGTGAGTTGGCTTGGCTCGTGTGTTGAGAGAGTAACGACGACGGACAAGCCATCCACGACACAGGTGCAACAACCTTGGATGCAGGCGCATGCTACACGGCACAAATACAGAGAAGCTGTATAAAGCCACATCGTCTCATTATAACGCCTTGTTATTTTCAAAAGTAGTTATAAAGCTCAGAATAAACGTGGTTAAGCATAGTTACAGAAACTCTTGGAAAAGCAGAAGAATGGCAGCATACATAAGTCGCCAGGAAGGCTACCGGCATCACTATCAATTCTCGGGCCTCATTCCTGTTCGGAGCCTTTCAGATAGAAAAATACTTTTTATAGCACTACAGAAGATAAGCTTTCTGTCGCACCGAAAAAAAACTGGGCCGAAACGGTCCCTTTAAGACACCTTGAGGACTTCTGGAAGTTATCATTTACATTACCTTGACATCTTTGTATTCCTACAATGTGATGTTGTTAGCATGGATATTTTCAGTGTTAAAGGACCTCTGGCCATCTCCGATGTTTCTTTGACATTTCAACTAAGCACGTGCATTGAGTTCTAAAGGTCCTGACAATCAACAATGCCAAATGGGGTAGCGCTATGAGCCGGGGTTGCCCCACAAATTCACAAATTTTAAGAAGCAATTCGTTCTCTTCTCCGCACCTTTCAGCATTCTTCATCTTCTCAAGGTTCACCGCAACATTGACATGTTGTCTGCTTGTCAACTAAAACACTTTTGTCCGCTCTCAAATTCGTGCACCTGCTGCTCTTCCTCCTCGCGAGATGAGGAGGAATGCTTGACCATAAGGAAGGACGAACCGATGAATGAAGCTCATTGAAAAAAGGAGTCAAACGAGCGAGGGCGTTTTTTCGTGTCATCAAACGTGTGCAACTCTGCCACTGTGGCTCCATTCCGAAAAATTATGGCGGTTACGTAGTCGTTTTGGACTCGTGCACAACTGCAACATCGCAATTAAACTTCAAACTTTGGGATATTGAGGGGCCCTTCAGGCACAAAATTTTCATGATGGGACAGACAGGAAGAAATACACACATAAGTGGTTGTGTTTGTGTTTGTGTTCTTCCTTTCCCGTCCTGTAACAGACATTCTGCACTTAACACTTTGAACTCTTGTCTCCTGCATCATACAGGTATGAGAACTCAACCACCAATGATCTCCTCTACTGGGGTCTCGACTACCCTCCTCTGACGGCCTACCACAGTTGGTTGTGCGGGAAAGTGTAAGTACTTCATTCAGCGTGCCGAGGTAGTTGTTGTGAGTGTTGATAATGCTGTACTTACCGAGATACGACAAAATACACGAAGAAAACACTTGGTGAAAGCTGGCAGAGGATGCGGTTCAGAGTATTTGTGACAGCAGAGGCCGTGACGTGGTGCCAAGTTTACGAAACTCACGGGTGGTAACGTAGCATGCTGTTAACAGTGTGCTTGATTGGACTGGTTGGGGCTGCATTGTAGACGGAAGTATAAAACGGTGCAAAAGTCAGCACCGTGTGTGTGTTCTCTTCTTGTTGCACCATTTTACGCATCTACCACTGAGCTATAGGGGCGGTGGTCACACCCTGTCCACTTTTATAGGGTATTTATGTGCATTTAAACGTGGGATTTTCAGTCAGCACCACCTGTTGCCATTACGGCGAGTGTGGAACACTATTTTTTATTGGGGTGGTTCGCCATCGTGGTTCGAGGTAGAGCATCATACGCGTCATTCGAAGATCACAGATTCAGATCCTGTCGGAGACAAGTTATCTTCTCGTCTGTCTTTTTTTTTCTTCACGTTTACATTGCAGTTACTTCTAATAACTTTTTCTATACTTTCCCTGGCATTATTGTCTGTTAGTTCTCTTTAATACTGCCAGTGTTATCAGATATATAGCACTGAAGGCACAGGAAACTTCGGGTCATTACGCTGAGTCATGCATGCATAGCATCATACATTTCATTGTAACAACACACATATCTACATTAAACCATACATCGCTGAATACAGGAAAAGGAAAGTATACATACGTCAGTCTTGGTAAGTTCAGTGGTTATATGATAGCGTTAAGGTTACCTGTGAAGCAAGCGATTTGCACTCAATCATAATAGCGAACATGATTAGTGTTGAATCATTATTTCTAGTAAGTTTCAACAAATTCCACTTCTTAATTACTGGAGGAAACCAGTTTACGTATGTCTCCAGTGCAGAAGTCATCAATGGAAGTTGGGTTGCCCTCAACACATCACGAGGCATGGAGAGCTATGACCACAAGCTGTTCATGCGATACACGGGTAAGAAAATGCCTGAATTTAATCCTCTGAGTGTTTTTGCGGCACATTTACGACCGCGGCTCTCTGTCCAGCAGCATTTTGGCTGTATGGCTACGTTTTCAACCATCCACTTGAATTTTAGCTGCAAAATAACAATGCATACTCACTTGCATGTGTCCTTCTAGAAGTTACAAGAAATATTGATGAAAACGATTGGGCTACTTTCTTGCACAGATAAACACAACTGTTCTCTAAAGTTAGCACGTCGTGCAGTCTGTGGCAACACCAATAGGAAACGGCCATTTGTGGTTTCAGTTGTTCTGCTTGGTCGCAACAAAGACACACAAAGATGTATTTTAATTTTTCTCGGCAATTCTTTGCACAGGTGGAGAAGTTGACTTTCATCTTTATTGGCACTGATGTCCGATTGGTTATCACGAACACTCACGAGTTATTTTCGTTCTTTTTTGTTACCGGGTTTACTTGGCCCAAGACTGCCACATGCAGAGATGTCGTGTGTCTGCCAGTACAACTTGTTGCTTCAAGAAAAGAACACATCGAGACGAGTCTTATAGGGGCAGATGGTAATAAGGTGCTGTGCGTAGACCCATGTTTCAAGCAATACTCAGCTTCAAAATACTATTGAACGTTTTGCAGTTCAGAGCAATTCTGACACCAAAAAACTGTCCCTAATTTTTTTCTCAATTTTTTCTTACACATGGTGTACATTCAAAAACCACAGTAAAGTAATTTGACCATATATAAAAATTTATCAGAAAAATTCGACTGTCAAAGAGTCAACGCCGTGTAGTTTTTGCTTGCATGTGTAGATTAAAACAGTTACAATTTGTTGGTGTTGTGTACGGCTAAGTATGATTTTTATATTTTCTTGCTTACTAATCTACACAAAAAGATACAGAAAATCTTGAACTAAAATGCAAATTTTATTGTGCTAGGCAGCTTGATGGCAGTGTGAAAAATGTGAGTTGAAGGTTACATACAAGGGCAGGTTATACATGTATAAATGTGGTATATGTATAAACTCTAGTCAGTCTATTTCATCATGTCAAATATGTTCTTGTGCTTGCCTATGAACACAGTTCTTGTTAAACTTAGATATAAGACAAACAGCATGACCTCCTGACTTCTTGTTTAAGCACTAACGCAAAACACGAAAAATTTCTGACAATTATGGTGCTGCCAAATACAAATTCTGCGCAAAGCTGTTTAGCTAGTTTGATTTTGCAATGAATTGAGGCAAATGCTTCTGCTTTGGATGCGCACCTCTGTATTCTGACTATCAATGCAGTTGAGCAGTGCTGAGCCAGTTGGTTCACCAGCAGTGGCAGAGGATGCACTTTCACCAGCTGCATTGCTCATTGTTCAGAAAAAACTGGTTTAGACTATTTCATATATAGATACATGGTCTACATAGAAAAAAAAAAAAAACCATCCTGAGTAGCATGACTAGCGCGAGCACTTTTGCGCAGCCCTGTTCACATTGACCACCACAAGTGGGACATAGTGCAAATATCGGGAGAATGCAAAAGGCAGTGCGTGGGTGTGTTTCCACAAGAGCCGACGCGTGACGCAACGCACTGCTGTGGTGCCAGGGGTGTTCGTCATGAACCTATCGTCTCGCGACTGTCATCCTTCCTCTTCGCGATCTTCTCTTTAGCGCAAGTCTTTCAACCTCTGTTGCGCTCTGCATTCGCTCTCTTTCGTCCTCGTTCGCTCTATTGGTTACGCTAACACCGGTCAACAGAGGAACAGGCGCCTAAGACCTGCACTGTGAAAAGTAAATTTGAATGCTGGTATATCTGCACATGTATTTGCAAGTCTCTCTCGAAGCCCATGTCTCTTACACTGCCTTTCACGTAGGCCAAGACAAGATGGATACCAGTGATGAATTAAATTGTATAAAGTTTAGTTTCTACGTTCGTTGAGAGTGTTCACTATTATTTGACCCATTCCGAAAATTTATAGCCCATGGACAATGAGTTAGAAACTAGCCTGATTCATTGCTCTTGTAAATTACCTGTAGTCCCTTCCTGTTCATTTCAAATGTTCACTCACGCCATACCTTCACAGTTCATGCATCCGATCTTTGTCGAATAGAGGTTCTCGTTTTAGTCAATGTTGGTGTTGGCGACACTTGGTGTCGTTGCTTTGGCTTTGTCGGTTTTTCAGTTCTGGCTGCCGACGTCCTTGTGTACTTCCCGGCTGTGCTGTTATTCTGGAACTCGCTTTGTACTCCACTGAGGATAAAGCCAAGAGATGTGGTAAGTTGAAGGTGCCGTGACATCGCACATTCTTCTTGTTAACCTCATTTTGAAAGGGACACCAAAGTAAAACAATTTCATTTAGCTGATTTCACTAATTTCATCATTATTTATGACTTTTCTTTAGTGAGTGAATATTTAGTGACTAGGAACTGTGGATCGCCTAGTAGATGCCAGTCGAAATCTCCGATGTCATGGCATTTAGGTCATGGTGTTCTTATGAAACAGTCGTGGAGGTCCATACAAAGCTTATATATTCAACCTCTTCCCTGGCCCTACCTGCGACGCTTCACCTGAGTGCCAGAAACAAGTGAAAAACGACACTTCCTAGAGGACATGGACTCTGCCAACGAAGCACAGGGGCGGGATTCTTGTGGTGTCCACTTACTGGACTACTCACTTCAGCCTCCACTGATTGACCGGAGCTCAGCTAGCTAGCCTTCCACAACGTCATTTTGACATCACGAAGCCTCTCGACACAAATGAGAAAAACGGAACGTGTTTCACCGCATTGCTGCTACTCCCAGCGGTCCGCTTTTGAACAGCACATCACAGAGGCCATGCATAAACTCTTCTTATTGCGTTAGCACCTAAATCAGGTTTAACGTGGCTGCCCACCTACGCACTTCGAAGGTCGGCACACAATCCCTGCATCGTCCTTTGAACATCTCATCATGTTCGTAGGTGAAGTAAGACTTGTAAAGTTTGTTTGGGAGTCCTGTTACTGTACATTTCGGCCGCTTTCATTCTATTTAGGCTAGCAATGTGCTTGTGCGTTCAGTTTGCGACGTGGTCAAAAGTGCGCTGACATGACGGCTCGCCAGTTTTTCGAGTAACTGAATGCGCTACTCCATAGTGGACATGTCCACTAGATGGACACCGCGGAAACAGCTCTCTTGCTCAACTACGAGCTGGTGTGTGAGGTGTTCCTACGTTAGAATACTGCCCTTCTCTCTAGCACATGCATTTAAGACTATTCAGTATAGCAGCTGACCTCTTCACAAGGAAATGTGAAAGTCGTAGATGATAATTTAGGAAACCAAGTCTTGTTAGAAGCTAAGATCTAATACTATGTCACAGAAGCCACAGTAACCCTTAACCTTCACACAATCCTCCAGCTTACTCTCTACCATGCAGGCCACAGTGTTTCGTTGTAGTTTGAGTAAACTTGTGTTATTTTGTTATCATATGGTGTAACAGCAATAAATTTATAAAGGAAATTAGCCAAAATTTATTGATGACATTTCTGCAGTTACTCAGTTACTGTGCTGTGGCTGTAATTTACGACTGTAATGAATTACATTTTAAGGAAAGTAATTGTAGTTGTAATCGATTGTTTAGTTTTCGTGATGTGTACAAGGCTGCTGTAGTAGAACAAAATGTATGCCTTCTTCGTTAAAGATAATGCAGGTATCTTATTCTGGTGCACTAGTAAAATTCATTGAATTTTACTAGTGAATGATATTAACTATGAATGATATATGAATTTCACTCATGAATGATATAATAAATTTGCCAGAATTTATTATTTTCTCACTTAACTTGTTGAGCTTTTTTTCTGAATGAAATGGCAACATTATTTTAACACAGCAGAGTTTCTTTGTTTCACCAGTGACGTAAAAAGCGAGCTCGAAGATGACTTCACTGCATGGCAGTACTATGTAAAATAAGAGTAAAATGAAAGCCAAGGCACGAGTGGCCCAACATGGATAAGTGGGGTCATCTAGCGTCAAGAAATGAAAGTATGACGAGTATAGTCGTCATTGGTGCCATATGGAAGCAACTTTTGTTGATGACGAGAGTAGTCGTCATCGGTAATTTCAGTTTAAGATCTCGCGGTAACAGTATCTGCCGGTAGTAGGAAAGGGCCAAGTGAGAAGTGAACTGCTGAACGATGACAAACAGCTGTAACAAGCTGTAATGGTTGACGATTATGAGTGCCGAAATTTCCTCTAATCTGCAGGCCATTCAAAGTACCCTTACGTTGATTGTTCCTGGCCTAGTTCTCATCGACCACGGTCATTTTCAGTATCCTTTTGGCGCATTACGTGTTTGTGTTATTTGTGTTGCTTGTTTTGAGATATTTTGTGTTTTATCTTTATGTACAAATACCCACAGGCTGAACATTGAAGCATTGTCTGTGGGAGATTTGATGCAATATTTGTCATGAATAACACAGAAACACCCCAAGAAAGCCAGGAACCAGGCATTATACAATGGTGAAAAGTATTACACCAGGTTTACCATGAATTCATTGTTATCATTATAAAATGCTTAGCATGTATGTGTTAACGAAGCTTGATTGTGTGACTTGATGTCATTATACAATGTATGAATATCATTTCTAGCGGTGATAGGGTATGGGGGACCAGTGCTAGATAGGTGGCGCGCCAAAAAAGAGCACCTGGCAGAGAGTCGCGTCACAACTCAGCTGCTCGCGCCCAGACGACCGGCCGCAGTGTACCACTCGGAGAGCACGTGTGTGCGCCGCTGCCGTGCTTCATTTTGGAACGAACAGCTCAAAAAGCCATTGTGCCAGTAACACTGCACTGTGGTTTAGAAAAATAACTTGGTGCGAAGGCCACTCTCACATAAAAAGCGCTAAAAAACGGAGAGAAGCCCTGCAAATCAGACTGTGTCTATGCATATAGTATCGAAAGGACAGTGCTGTGCCGTGATGGCCGCTACCCTCGTCCTCATTATCTGGTTGCGTGCTGGGTTTTGGGATAATGCTAGTGCTGCCTGACATGCCCCCATCGATAAGTCCGTGCTGTGACAATACCATGCTGCCAACATCTGCAGTATATAACAAAACAAAACAAAAATAAAAGCAGAGTACTAAGTGGTAGCTGCATCAATTTTTTTTCTGGCATCGTTTGTACACAGTGTTCGCGGTATGTATGCTCGGGAACGTTGATCAAGCAAACTGCCATGGCAGCATAGCACGTGTGGTGTCGCGCCGCTATTCTTAAGGTGCGGGATAGATTAGTGACCATGGCCGCCACATATTGATGTGGGTGAAATATATAAAGAACACCTGTGAATCAAAATATATGATTGGAGAACCCTAAGCGGTCACAATCTTGATACGACACTACAGCGTACCTCCAAATGATATTATGTTTGGCACATGAAAGCCCAGCTATTAACAATGTTGAACAGACACCTTCATTTTAAGCTCACACAGGCAAGCAGAAACACCTGAAACTGTGTGTTAGGTGAACTAAAGGATGAGTGAAAATTGAATACGTTGATGCTTCTCTAGCAAGGCATAAATTTCGATGTTCCTTAGCCACGGCAGCCAGTGAGAAGAACGCTTACCGCATCACCTGACTTCAGAAATCTAAGCTTCGAGTAGTCCACTGCTTTGTACATAACAAGAACCCTGTCATTTGCACAAATTAAGTTACACAGAGGCATCTCAGCACCAACTGTTCACCGGGAGAGTATTTTTTATAACAGTTCAGAGGCGTTGGTGAACGTGGCCCCGCACAAGTTTCATGGACAAGGCAGCTTTCCTTTACACTGCAACTCTTTAGAAAAAAAAAAAAAAACATTACTACCTGCCTATCGTATCATTCACTTCTAGCGGGGGTATCATATGGAGTTCGGTGGTGGTGGTCAGATGAATGGATGCATGAAAACAAACAAGAAAAGTTTACATATGCAGCATGTTGCATAATACACTCGTTCTATTTATGGCAAAACGCCGTTTAAACTCGACTGTTTGGCTTTGGTTTTCACTGGTGGCCGTCTTCACTACCCAATAAATATAGCAGACACGTGCCATTCGGTTTAAAAACGAGCCCGACAGCACTAGACAGGAGAGCGAGAGCAGAATTCAGCTCGTTTTTCCGCTTGTATGCAACGCCACCTCCTCTTTCTACGTCCTCCCTTTACTCTATACATCTCCGCTCTATTTATATATTGTTTCACTTCATACGCAGCAGCACCCCCAGCGCCTTTTGGTTTTGTTACGGCGATGCGCACGCGCATCGCCTCTGCCAGCCGCCACTCTCGTTTGCAGGAGCAGCTGAAAAGTGCACACTTTAACCGTTAGGGTGGTCGTGGAAACTCCAGCGCTGGTTCCCTATACAACATAGTGACAGTGAATGGAAGAAGATGAAACCATTTCAAAACTAGTAGTGAACTGTTTGTTGAAGCGGATTAGTGTTCTCAAAACTAGTTGAAGTGCACTTGGTACTTTTAACCCCTTCGGGGTCAGTGACATGGATGTACAGCCACTGCCATTTATGTGTAGAGCATGTGAGCAGCCAGTTTTTGCCCACAGGGGTGGCACCTTGAGGCATTTTTGGGCTGTGACGCGATTAGTATGGCTGCAAGGCCGCGCATGCTCCTGCCTCAGGGTGTCGCCCCTGTGAGCGAAAACTCGCTGCTAACTTGCTCTACAGACGTGGCTGTGGCTGTATCTTCTCTTCAAACACCTTCAAGATGGTTCAGTGACGTACGTGAATGTCACCGCCTGTATGTTTAAAGAAGAGCATGCCTTTTTCGATCATTTCTCTCGCTTGGCATGTGCTGCCACATTGCCGGAATACGTGAAATTTGTCTCGGCCAGCGCTCGCACGGCTGGTTGCTTGCAAGCGTGCGGCAGGCTACTTTTAGTTTCGTCCCATGGTTGGTTCTAGCCTATTGTGTTCCAGCTTTGTTAGCATGAGGAGGAGAGATTTAATGGTGAGGGTGGAAAGGAGGAAAGAGAGAAAAAGCATAGCATAGAAAAAAATGGTAACGATCGAGAGAAAGAGAAACAAATAGGCTGAAAGATAGAGGAGAAGATAGAAAGAAGGAAAAAGCGTGTGACAAAGAGTGGGAAAAAGATGAAAGAGGAAAAAGATTGGAAGACAAATAAATAATTAATTAGAAATGAATAAAAAAAGAAGAAAACAGAGTGAAGAGAGAGAGAGAGGAAGAAAGAGAAGACTTACAACATTTAGCAAAGCAGCAAAAGTCTGTACACTCAAAACTCAGTGTAACAAGCCCAGATATAAGGAAGTATTGGTTACAATGAGGCAAATGAAGATAAATCTTGTAATAAGTATAGTTTTAGGAATAAACCTTTATAAGGAATTTCCGGATATAACAAACCTATTTTCGTGTAGGATGCAACTTTGTTATAATGATGTAGGAGTGCACAACCTAGGTGCCCATCAGCGCCGCTCTCTCTTTAGCATTGCACATACAGTGCAAGCCACGCAAATTTTTTTCAGTTTCATTTGTGAGTTGTGCTTATTTGCTTCATCGGTTGTGCACTTGAACAATCTGGCTGAGTGTTCGCAGTTGTTCCCGCCCTTAACAAGAGTGCAACGCCAGGTATAACTGTGTCAGTCTGGGCCTTTCTCTGCTGGCCGTGGCTTTTATGGAACGCGAGCACCCCCTGCTTAGCGCGGTGGCGTTCTCGCTGGCGCTGAACTACAAGCAGATGGCGCTGTACTACGCAGTCCCATTCTTCTGTTACCTGCTAGGATGCTGCTTTCAGCGGGAGGGACTCGGATCCAAGTAAGTGGCAGTGATAGCATGGCGGATCTCTCCGTTTCAAAGATGGGTTCTGTGACAAGCAGTGCAGATTGTGTTGAAGAAATTATCAAGAAAACTAAGGGCTCTTTGTGAAGTAACTTGTAACTCTGAAGCATATACACTCTAACCTCATTATAACGAACTTGGGTAGGACGAATTGTCGGTTATAAACAAGTAAATTAAGAATATATTTGTCATAGAGACAGTGCTGCAAATGTATGTTTATAAGGAATTTTTGAATATAACGGACCATTTTCGTGGCAGGTGCGACTTCTTTATAATGAGGTTTGAGTGAAGCTCAATTTTGATAGCATATTGTAGCGATGCTGACGCCGACAGGTTAAAAAAACAAGCGTCTTTATTAGGACGAACTTGTGCCCACGATTCTAAAATCTATGGTCGTCAAGTTCGAGTAGCCGAGTGGCACAGATCCGACTATATTCCTCTTCCTCGTTGTTGAACGTACGAACGCGTGGCGCATGCCAGCCGAGCCGGGTCTTGCTGGTGCTGGTGCCACAATGATTGTGGCGGGCTACTTGAATGTGGCGAACCTGTCGCAGCATTGCCCCCCTCCTCAGACGCATCGTCCCGATGCTTAAAACAGTGAAAAGATACACGCGCACTCTCACTCGTTTTTCGACGATCTGTCATGATAAAGCTTCATGCGGACTACGTGGACCACTTCCGTGGGATTGCGGCGCCTTGAACTCACGTGTCCAGCGGATCTAGCTTCATAAGTCACGTTGCTGATACGGTTGAGTACTTCATAAGGGCCGAAGTATCGGCAAAGAAGCTTTTTAGAGAGTCCGCGGCGGCGCACTGGTATCCATATCCACACTTTGTCACCGGGATGATAAAGTGTGTCACTGTGTCGCTTGTTGTAGTGACTAGAATCCACGTGCTGTTTGTGGCGTATTCTGTATCTTGCCATTTGCCGTGCTTCTTCGGCTCTTTGCAAGAAGTCATCTAAGTCAGGTGGATAGCTGCTTTCGTCCTGTAGTGGTAACATGGCATCCAGCGGGGTGGTCACTCTTCGGCCGAATACTAGTTCGAAAGGGGCAACGTGGGTTGTTTCTTGAACGGCTGTATTATATGCGAATGTTACGTAGGGTAATATTTCGTCCCACTGTTTATGTTCAACATCAACATACATTGATAGCATGTCGGTCAGAGTTCTGTTGAGGTGTTCGGTTAAGCCATTTGACTGGGGGTGATACGCCGTTGTTCTTCTGTGATCGGTATTTGTCATGCGCATCAGGCATTGCATTAGGTCTGCAGTAAATGCGGTGCCCCGATCCGTAATAACGACGATGGGCGCACCATGTCTGAGCACTATGTTGTTCACAAAGAACTTGGCGACTTCGGCAGCTGTCGCACTGTATAGAGAGTCAGTTTCAGCATAACGGGTGAGATAGTCTGTGGCTACGACTATCCATTTCTTGCCTGCACGCGATGTCGGCAAAGGTCCTAGGAAGTCCATGCCGACTTGTTGGAATGGGGCATCTGGAGGGTCTATTGGCTGGAGAAGGCCGGCTGGTTTTACGGGTGGAGTTTTGCGCCGTTGACATTGACGACAAGTTTTCACGTAGCGCTGCACTGATGCGAGCAACTTAGGCCAATAGTATTTCAGGCGAATCCTGGCGAATGTTCGGCTCACACCCATGTGTCCAGATGTTGGCTCGTCGTGGCATGCGTGCAGAATTTCCTCTCGCATGGCTGTGGGCACGACTAGTAAAAACGTTTCACCATTAGGTTCGAAGTTCCTCCTGTAAAGGACACTTCCTCGAAAGCAGAACGCGGAGAGCCCTCTGGAGAATATGCGAGGGACTTGAACGTCGAGACCCTGTAGGTGTTGTATAAGTGCCAGCAAATCCGGGTCGTCTCGTTGTAGTTGAGCGATTTTGGATGTGTCGACAACGCCTAGAAACGGGAAGTCTTCCTCTTCAGGTACACTTGGATCGACAGGAGAGCGTGACAGGCAGTCGGCATCGGTGTGTTTCCTTCCCGATTTGTACACGACCGTAATATCATACTCCTGCAGCCTAAGGCTCCATCTTGCTAGTCGACCTGACGGGTCCTTGAGATTTGCCAGCCAGCATAGAGCATGGTGGTCACTGACAGCTCTGAACGGTCTACCATAAAGGTAGGGTCGAAACTTGTTTATGGCCCAGATGACTGCGAGGCACTCTTTTTCAGTTGCAGAGTAGTTTGCCTCAGCTTTTGATAGTTTGCGGCTGGCATAGGCTAACACTTTCTCTTGACCATTTTGCCACTGGACAAGGATGGCGCCGAGGCCAACATTGCTGGCATCGGTATGGACTTCAGTGTCGACTGTCTCATCAAAATGGGCAAGTATTGGTGAACCCTGTAGTCGTTTCCTTAATTCGTCAAAAGCTTTCTGTTGTTCGCTTTCCCACGTGAAGGGCACGTCGTCTTTTGTCAGTTTTGTAAGAGGTTCCGCAATCTTTGAGAAGTTTTCCACAAATCGTCTATAATAGGCACATAAACCCAAAAATCGACGCACTGTCTTTTTGTCTCTGGGTGTAGGGAACCTCTGAACAGCGGCTGTCTTTTCGGGATCGGGACGAACACCCTCGGAACTAATGACATGTCCAAGGAATCGCAGCTTTTCGAAGCCGAAGTGGCATTTTTCGGGTTTGATTGTCAATTTCGCTGACCGGATGGCTTCCAATACTGTGCGTAGTCGCTCTAGATGTTTGTCGAACGTTGCAGAGAATACCACCACGTCATCCAAATACACTAGGCATGACTGCCATTTCAATCCGGCGAGGACAGTGTCCATCATTTGCTGGAACGTCGCTGGTGCGGAACAGAGGCCGAATGGAAGCGCTTTGAATTCGTAGAGGCCATCTGGTGTTACGAATGCCGTTTTTTCACGGTCCCGCTCGTCGACCTCTATTTGCCAATATCCGCTTTTCAGATCTAAGGAGGAGAAGAACTTTGCGGATCGCAACCGATCTAGTGTATCGTCGATACGTGGCAAGGGGTAGACATCTCGTTTAGTTACACTGTTCAGTTTTCTGTAGTCGACGCAGAATCTAAGTGTGTTGTCTTTCTTCTTAACGAGCACTACGGGAGACGCCCATGGACTTTTCGAAGGCTGGATGACATCACCAGAAAGCATCTCCTCCACTTGCTTCTTGATAATTTCCCGTTCTTTCTGTGACACCCGATATGGATGCTGGCATATAGGCCTCGTGTCGTCTTGCGTTATAATTCTGTGTTTCGTGATTGACGTGCGCTGGACCTTCGAGGTACTTGAAAAGCAATCAGAGAATTCTTTTACCTAGGCATAAATCTGTTTCTTCTGACTGTCCGGAAGGCTCTGATTGACGGTCACGGATGTGTCGATGTTGCAGGCCACTGGTCGAGTGGTTGATGTCGTTAAGCTGCATAGTTCAGTCACCATACAGAAGTCGTGTAAATAGGCGATAGCCGTGCCTTGAGCGATGTGTTGAAGCTCATTGGAGAAATTTGTGAGTAGGACATCTGCACGGCCATTCGTCAAGTGAACAAGACCCCTAGCTACGCAGACACCTTTGTTCAAAAACAGTCCTACATTTGTATCCGCTATGCCTTCGCGGTTGTACAATGCATCATTTTCTACGAGCACCATTATACTGCAGCGTGGTGGCACAGTTACGTCATAATGAACAACGCGTAGAGCAGTTAGGCGTCGTTCCTCAGATTCCTCCACAGGTATAGCTCGTTCAGTCGAAAACGACACGCTGGACCTACGCAGGTTAATTACGGCGCCATTAGCTCGCAAAAAATTCATTCCTATAATGAGTTCTCTTGAACATTCTGGCAGCACAATGAAATCGGCCACGTAAATAAAGCCCCGTATTTCAAGTCTTGCAGTGCATCTGCCAAGGGGCGTAATAATGTGACCGCCTGCCGTGCGTATCTGCGGTCCACTCCACTGTGTCACAACTTTGTTTAGCTTTTTCACCATCTTGTGACTTATCACTGAATAATCAGCACCGGTGTCGACTAAGGCATTCAGCTCCCATCCTTCCATTCTCAACCGCAAATCTGAAGTAACGTTTTCGTTGCTGCACCCATCTACCGGAAATACACCGTCATCACCCTCAAACCAAATTGGAGGATCTTCGTAACTGACGTTATCAGCGGCCTCACCTCCACAGGTCGCTTGCTTCAGTTTTCCGGGTGTGGACTTGGAGAGCGATGACCAGGCTGCCTTGAAGGTGTACATGGGCTGGATGACCGGTAGCGCATAGGCGATGGTGACCGTGACCGGTGTTGGCGTAGAGTTGGCGAGTTCTGGCGCGTCGACAAGTACTCCTCAATCTCCGCTGGTCGTTCGCCGTTTCGGGGGCACGGTGCATATGACGGGAAGCCTCTTAATCCAGCCTGTCGGTAAGGACAGAATCTGTACAGATGACCCGCTTCCCCACAACGAAAACACAGAGGCCTGCGCTCGTGATCACGCCAGACGTCACTTTTCCTGGGCCTACGCTCCACATAGTGATGTGTGCTACGTGCTCCTGGGGGCAGATAGGTAGCTGTCGGTTCCCCTGGACGAGGTGCGCTGCGTGCCGCAGGTGGGAGAGGAGTCGTTGCCATCGCAACTGCTGCATTGCTGTGTACCGTGGGTTGTCTGACAACCTCAGAGTATGTTCGGATAGGTCGAACCGGCTGCAGCTCACGCTCTGGCTCTCATATCACCTGCCTCAGTTCGTCACGAACAACGTCCGTAACAGATAGTGCAGTTGAAGTGTGGCGCATATGCAGTCTGCTCAGTTCTTCTCTGATAACTGATCTAATTAGCTCTCGCAGGGCTTCAACGTCGTTTCGCACGCCTCCGGGGAATACCTGTGCAGATGCGCAGTTAAGATTCCGGTTGTACTGCCGAGCCCGCTGTTCCAGTGTTTTTTCGATGGCCGTCGCTTCCGAGTAAAACTCAGCAACCGTGCTCGGAGGGTTGCGGACGAGAACGGCGAACAGCTCTTGCTTCACTCCGCGCATTAGATGGCGCACCTTCTTATCCTCAGCCATGTTGTAATCCGCACGCTTGAACAGGCGGACCATGTCATAGCAGCACTCTCGTTCGTTAGCTGGTTCCTCGATTGAAGAGCTGCCTCCGCCTTTTCTTTCCGGTCTATGTTCGCAAACGTAGCCACCCCTTGTCGTCGAAATACCTCCCAGGTAGACAACGAGGTTTCATGGTTCTCAAACCATGTCTTCGCGAAGTCTTCCAGGGCGAAGTATACGCGACGGAGCTTCTCTCTTTCGTCCCATCCATTCAAGCTCGCTACTCTCTCGAACAGGTCCAATAAATCTTCAACATCCTCGTACGAGTCGCCGTGGAAAACTGGCGGCTGGTGCGGTTGGCTAATGAACACTTGTGCAGGTGTTACCTGGCTAGTCATAGTGGTGGCATCCATCGTTTGAATTCCCCTTGGTGTGAAGTGAAGAGGACCGAACTCAGGTGAGTCACCTCGAAGACGGCGACTTGCCCTCTGGTGTACAGGAGTCACTTCCACGGGGTTGATACGCTGGTCGTCGGGGCTATGCTGTCTTGAGCTCACGGGGCTTCGATTCATACCCAGCACCTCCACCAGAAATGTAGGCGATGCTGACGCCGACAGGTTAAAAAAACAAGCGTCTTTATTAGGGCGAACTTGTGCCCACGATTCTAAAATCTATGGTTGTCAAGTGCGAGTAGCCGAGTGGCACAGATCCGACTATCTTCCTCTTCCTCGTTGTTGAACGTACGAACGCGTGGCGCATGCCAGCCGAGCCGGGTCTTGCTGGTGCTGGTGCCACGATGATTGTGGCGGGCTACTTGAATGTGGCGAACCTGTCGCAGCAATATAGTGACAGTGTCTATTGGCAGTGCCATCAAACATTGGCTGGCCATCAGACATTGTCACATTTTGATGGGGATCAAACGTTGCAACAATTGTGCACTTAAAACTATGTGCACATTTCAGGACCCTGGGCAGCCCAAATCAATTCGAAGTTGCCCCATTACAATGCGCCTCATAGCTATGTCATTGTTTTTGCATGTGGAACTCCAGGAATCACGATTATAAAATCATTGCATTCGACTCTTTTCTGACTCCAAACAAGTTTATTTTATTCATATGCACTTCTTTGGAAGTCGTAACCACCTTGTAAACAGCCGTGATTTTTTTTTTACTTATAACACGACATTTACTATTTGAATTTTTTTGTAGTATTAGTATGTGCGTTCGTGTCCTACTCATTGCTTAGTAGAGTGGAATTAAATGTTTTGCCATATTGCCGTGATATATTTCATTATATAATATAAATGGTTACTGCTATTACCCAATGTGTGTTTGTGGGATCATGCAAGTATAGCTTCACAGTTGCTACTCCAGGAGGGTTCACTTCCTCGAGATTGCCGCCTGACTTTTTCACGAGTTGTCATATGCATCATGTGAGTGCTTGATAACGCAAGAATAAAAATACTTGACTACAATGATGCAGCTACATGAAAACTCATTTCAGGCTGCGACTTTTTCTTGGCCTTGCCCTGGCAGTCACTTCCACATTTAGCGCATGCTGGGCGCCCTACCTGGGAAGCCCCGACCGAGCTTTGCAGGTGGTGAAGCGCCTGTTTCCCCTGGATAGGGGTTTGTTTGAGGTAAATGTGACAACAAGCAGTAATAGGTGACGCTTAAGTTATGGCGTACGTCTATTGAATTTCGCTTCCGCCTTCTTTAATCACGGGTGGTGTCAGATCGGCTGTAGATTATTTTACGGGAGATTGGTAGGCATTGCCTCACTGGGCTGCTTAAAAAGATGTTTCTTTGCTGATTTATATTAGGACGTGAGTTAATAAAGGTCGCATAGTTCGAAAATGGGTCATCCAACCTCGAGTGAAAGTAGCGAAGAAAAAGATATAGAAGTTCTATATGCAACTACTCACGCAACTAAAACGGCCATACACAATATGTCCTTCGGAAAAGCAGCTGGCGAGCATGGAGCAATACTCTATCTAATTAAAGACAGGGGAGCATTCATTTGGAAAAAAACTAGGTATGCTTTATACTCGGTGCCTCAAAAGGGCAATGGCTTCATAAAGCTGGAAAAATGCCTATATATACTAATACACAAAAAAAAGACATTAAAGACTTTAAGAACTATAAGACCACCAGCTTACTTTAGGCAATGTACAAAATATTTACAAAAGCGGTCTCAAGCAGTATAAAAGAAACACTTGGCTTTAACCAGCCAGAAGAGCAAGCTGGATTCAGAAAAGGCTACTCTACAGCGCATGTCTTTCATGTGATAAACTTGGTCATTGAAAAAACTGCTGAATACAACAAACCATTTTAGTTGCCTTCATAGCCTACAAAAGGGCATTGGACTCAGTAAAGTAACATCTGCAGTTTTTAAAGCACCAAGTCAATGAGGAGTACCTAAATCTTATGTCAATACCTTCACCAACATCTACAACGACTCCATGTTTACTTCAATTCTCCACAAGAAAAGTGATTGATTGATTGATTGATTGATTGATTGATTGATTGATTGATATGTGGGGTTTAATGTCCCAAAACCATCATATAATTATGAGAGACGCCGTAGCGGAGGGCTCTGTAAACTTCGACCACCTGGTGTTTTTTAACGTGCACCCAAATCTGGGCACACGGGCCTACAGCATTTTCGCCTCCATCAAGACATGCAGCCGCCATACGATCCCGCGATCTGTGGTTCTGCAGACGAGTACCTTAGCCATTAGACCACCATGGCGGGGTCACAATAAACGCGATGAAAGAAGTAAGGCAAGGAGATACTATATTTTAAATGATGATGACTGCATGCTTGAAGGAGGTGTTTAAGCAGCTAGACTGGTAGTAAACGAAAATGAAGTCTGACAGAGAACAGCTGAACAAGCTACGATTTGCTCATGGAATAGTGCTATTCAGCAATGAATTGTAAAAAATTATCGAGGAATTGAACTGAGAAAGCATTAAGGTAGTCCCCAAATGAATGCGATAAAGACAAAGATAACATTGAATCGCCTGGTGAAACAAAAAAGTTTAATCCTTTGATGCCTGAATTGTTAAACTGCCAAACGAAATGAAAATTTTTTTTATTTTCCAGCTTTTAATATGAACTTTTAAATGATTTCACAGTTAAATCATGTAAAATTCACCTTTATTGAATACTTTTATCTATGTCACAAATTCTTGACATGTCACAGAAGCAAAATAGCGTACTTCAGAAGTACGTAACATGTCGTGTACCGCCTCTTAGGTGCGTACTCACCAGATAAACCAAATTGTTGAAGATAGAGCTTACGTCACCCAGGCGAGAAAGAACAAAAAAGTGAGAGCTGTTGCACGTGCTTTGCACGCTCTGCCATCAGCTACAAAACGATTGGCTGGAGCATGAAATACCTTAAATGAGACGGCCCAAGATTTTTCCTGCTGAGAGCTACGTTCCCTGTGAGTACTTCACAGCCTACATGAAAGGCAGCACACATTTCGTGAGTTTTTTGGTGTGTTGCGAATTTGCGGCACTAAGCAGTAAAGTGTTAAGATTGAAAACCATACATTGGAGTGTATACAAGAATATGTATGTTTAGGACAACTACACTCAAGGGAGAACTTAACCACAAACAGGAAATTTACCGTAGAATACAAGTCGCTTGGAGTGCATTCAGCAGGCACTCCCAAATAATGTCAGGAAACCTGCCACATCACTAAAGTGAAATGTACACAACCACTGCATCCTGCCAGTTCTAACATAGTATAGGGCTGAAATGTGGAGACTAACAAAACAACTAGAGCAAAATCTGAGGACCACAGAGCATGCAGAGGAATGTAAAATTAATTCAATAACATTAAAAGGGTTCTGCAACCCTTTTTTGATTATGGTCAGAAAATGTTAGTGATCAGTAGTTGAGGCACCCAAGAATACGCGTGCTAAATATTATAACACAGCAACTTGGCCTGAATTTACAATAAAGCCTCAAAGTCGGCTAAAAATCGCTTTCTCTTCTCTCGACAAATGACGCTAATGTCCCAGGCCTAGTATCAGCTGAAGCCGCCGTGAAGGCCGCGACTTGTTTGCGTGTGATCGCACTAAAAAGCCCTGCAGTGGAAGGATAAAAAAAAAAAAGGAGAAAAATTGCTCAAGGTCACAAGGTGCGCGTGACGCATTCTTGCCCCTACGCCATCCCTCCCTCTTCAGCTTCCAGTGCTTTTGTCAGGACGAGAGAAGAGAGAATGCGATTGCAGCGCATGACAAATATTTTTTTTTGTGTTCGCTCGTACTGGACAGATTCTTAAAATTTTTGCGGCTGTGAATTCGTGAGGCGATAAGCTCCTTTAGTGAATCCATTCAATGGCTACTTAGAAAAGTGTTGCAGGGACCCTTTAAGTGATCGGAGCACGTTGAATAGGTAAGAGAAGACACAGGAGCTAGAAATATCTTAGTTTATATCAAAAGAAAAAAAAACGGACCTGGAATGGTCACATAACGGGTGGGAGAGACAACAGAATGGTTGTCGAGGGATGGGAAATGCAGTCGGGGATGGCTGAGAGTTAGATGGAGTGACGAAACTAGGAAGTTCGCTGGGATAAAACAGAATCGGCTTGCATAGCATAGTGTAAACTGGAGATCACTGGGAGAGGTCTTCGTGTGTCACGCCGCAGACAGTTGAGCGCCGAGCACTCATTGTCACGTACTGAGAGGTCATGGGTTCAATTCCTGGCAGTAGAACTTTTTCTTCTAGGTTTTTTTTTTTTCTTTCTCGTCTGCCAATACGCATTTTACCAACGTCATATCCGTTACAAAAACATGTCACTGAAGTCTTGGTGGAGCCCGGCATGAAGCACTTTCTTATTGAAAGACAAAATGGATATTGAAAATTTGATTTTCGACATTGTCATACTTTTTCTAAATTTTGGTTTTCAAACACTTTTACTAGACTAGTATTTGAACTGGCAATTCAAGAGAGTGCAATAACATTCATACATCTCACAACCTTGTTTCAGGACAAGGTTGCCAACATCTGGTGCACTCTGTCTATCGTCGTCAAGCTTAAAAATCTGTACTCGCCGACTGCACTCGCCTTTGCTAGGTAAGGCTCTGCCTGCATGTTGCAGCCTTCGTAAATCCTAAAATATGGCATATCTTACAGGTTATCACTAGCATTTTATGGAAAGTCAAATCCTGCTACTATGAAAAGTTGTTTTGTCTTTTCTTTGAACAAAAAAGAATGATATTTGCACATGCCTTCTTTCAATTTCAAGAATATACTCTGCAGGTTAGTCGGGTCGGGACAAATGTGCTCATTTTTTCTTGTGATATGGCATATATACTATTTGAATTTGATTTAAAGTTGATTCAATATTATCTCACCAGATCACTATTTTCTTCACATTCACTTCCAACTTAAAATTTACTATTCGCACAGGCCTAGCTAAAACCGTGTAAAGCCAGAGAAATTTCGTAGGTATTAACTATCCTCTTTGCTTTAAAAGTTGAATTACTGATGTAGAGGGAAATAAAGCTCGACAAAGCGACAACTTCGTTAAGGTGGACGTTAATCCTACATCTCTTCCACATCACAGATGCATTTCTTGCCATTCAGTTACTTCAGCTGTATCTAGTATTCACATAACAGAGTGCAAGTGCTGTACATTCAAACCTCGATATAACGGGATATCAATTTTAACAAAGTAAGTGAAGAATAGTCTCGTGATAGACATAGTGTTTTTAACATACCTTTAGAACAAATTTTCGAATGTCGCGAAGGTATTTTCGTGTAAGATGCAACTTTGTTATAACGAGGTTTGAGTGTACTTAGCTCTGGGTGTCTGGTGTTTTCGTGTTATGGTTAATTAAACAGGGTACTGAAAAACAGACTACACTCAAACCTTGGTATAAGGAATGTGGATATAATGAAATATTGGTTATAACGAAGTAAATTAAGAATAGTTTTGCACTAGATGTGATATTACCTTTGTCACGAATTTTCGCTTATAAAAAACTTATTTTTGTGACAGTTGCAACTTTGTTATAACGAGGCTTGGCTGTAAATGAGGGTAGATGCAATCCGATCGACTGTCATTTCTACCTCTCCTTCATTACCCGTTTCAGTGTGCCGTTTTATTAACCATCACCCATTATCAGTTAGCCTAGCTTTACGTTTTTTCAGCTTCGCGTGGCCACATGTTAATTTTACAGCCTCTTGGTTACTCATATTCTTGTCAGTGGAGAGTGTGCTGTACAAGTTTGCACTTTTTTAAGTCATTGATTGTTCCACCAGCGGCCTTGTAACGCTCGGTACGGCAAGCATCTCGGCTGTCGACGTGTTGCTCCGACCAACACCGGAGCGGTTTCGATTCACTCTGGTAAGCTCGCATTCGCAAACTAAGAATGGTCTACTGCGAGTGGCCACAGCACACAATTACCCAATGTTGTCCTTTTAAAATTTATGGACTTGTATTTTAAAAGTTGTAGATGAAATGTATAGCTTTAACAATGTAACGATACTATGCAAAATAAAGGTTCTATTTGATCGATTTATTGATTGATTGATGGAAAAAATTCTGCGCTTCTTACAATTGTCAGTTCCTTGTCTGTCTCTGTCTTATAATATTGATAGAGGATCATGATTGATGAAAAAGATCGAAGGAAGACCTATGAGACAGTTTCATTTGATGCTAATGCTGGTCTCAGAATGCCAGGCCTTGTGTTCTGCCCACCGTCACAACTTCAGGTCACAGAATTTGCCAATGCGGCCCTTCGATATGGTTATGTGCAATAATGTTGATTGCATTAGAGCTTAAAAAATCATGCTGTGTGGGTTTCGCTTGACCGTGGTTGTGGCTGCATAACAAACACACAAAGTCACCGTGTGTGTAGTGATGTCCTGATGCTAATCAAAACTTGTTTAGGAGGACAAGTATTTTATAGTTGTGGGCTCGGGGCTGGCTGGTAGCCGGAGCGCTCAAAGAAGACGCACACCAATATCCTGTACAGTAAATCATGAAAGATAGCTCTGTGCCAGAAAGTGAAAGAAAATGAGGAGTAAAAGATTTTACATTGGTACTGCAGATGCTGGTATATGTGCCCCTGTTTCATTGTTATCTTTTCCAGAAATTTATTGTGCTATTTTTAAATGTTTTTCTTATTGCATATACCTATAGCGCTCGAGTTGGGCATTATCATAGGGGAAAAAATGCTGTCATAAAACTGCTATAAAAAACATTACCAAGCTGCAGTATCAAAGCTACTGACTAGCATGCACATATATCGCAGTAAAAAATACTACACCATAATAATAATGATGAAAACATAAGTGTAAAACATTTCAATGTTAAAACATGTGAAGTAATTTTTAAATGGGTTTATACAACGTTTCCAATGGCAGAAAAAAAGCTTCGTGCAGATACTATGTCATCGGGAAGCACATTCAGTTCTTTCAGCGTTTGAAGAAAGAAAAAAAACCGCAAAACTTAGATACGACATTGGTAGGGCTTTATTTATAGCAATGCATTATCAGAGTCTGTTCTGCTATTTTTTTCTCTCCATCATTGAAGCTAACCGGGTTTTAAATTCATCGCAGTAATTATAAAATACTTCTGAAAATAAAAACTTTCGGCATATGGTTGCTTGCTACTGCATTTATTATTTTAGGTGGAATGTAAAAATTGAGACAAAGTGCAACAGGTTTCAGTATTATAACTTTCGTATGTGCACGTTCACGCTGCTTTGCGTTGTTAAGTGAGCTGCTCTCGCGTTTAATAGCGTCGGTTTTTTTTTTTTACCATTGCTGCTTTCAGATAAACTGTTCTCTGGCCTTTTTTCTCTGCTCCTACCAAGTTCACGAAAAGACCATACTGTTCCCGGTGCTGTGAGTATTCTTTATGTCTGCTCTGTTTTTTCTGATATTCATTTGTTTTCAAGACGATAGTCTTCCTTTCTGGGATACTTGAATGCAGAAATTTTGGTCTGCCTCTCTCTCTCTGTCTGTCACACAAAAGGATTTAGGCCACCCAGCCAAAGTTTAAGCTCTTGCTGAATGCCCAGCAATTTTGAACTGATGATGGCTGCGTTCAGCAACATACTTGGGAACATAGTCGATCGAAAAACTATTATTACGCATATCTGAGGCAAAACATCAATACCTAAGTGCTAGGCGGTATGTTCCTTGACTAGAAAATACATAGGTACATAATTCTAGAGACCGTAGTGTTTCTTAGGCTGCGCAGAAAATGTGGCGCTATTTATGAAAAAAGGCTGGCAGAAGCCTATCACTTTTCGACAACATTTGTAGCGAAGCACGCAAATATGTGGCTAACTTTTTTTTCGTATTTCTCACTTCTTATTCTGTTTTTGTGCTTTTTTTTGCAGTGCCTTCTATCTCATCTTAAATAAGCATCCTGGCCTGGTGGTGTGGTTCTCAACGTTGGCAACATTTAGGTGCGCAAAGAAAAAAAAAACATTAGTAGTTTTGTTTTCGGGACACTTAGCATGTCTTACCAGTACTGTTCGTGCTTGATAATTGGACAGCAAAGCACAGGATCTCATGGTTTAATAAACAGCATAAATAGGCTCTATTTCACTCAGTTTTTCGTTAAAGAGGGAACAATTGCAGCCAAAGAAAAGCTGTTGGATTGCGTCGTGCATGCCTCTCGTGCAGGAGAAAGATGCCGATTCAAAACCAATACAGTGGTATCATATGTTCCTGCGCGTACTACAGAACCCAAGCCACTAGGGGAAGGTGTAGGTATCAAGTTCGAACCCTGAGCCAGAGCTAGCTTTTGTCAATTCGAAAACTTTCCTCGTGAGAAATTTTTATTTATTTTCTTCATTGATTTCGACATACAGTATAGTCTTATTACAAGAGATGCTTTGTTGTCAGAAATATCTGGAGTAGTTTGGTTAGTATTTAAAAGTTCACCACTGCTAACAACCTCGCACACAAGCGACATGACTTCAAGAGACACTCTTTTACTGAAGACGACTTGTTTATGTTCCCAGGGTAGATTTTTCACTATTTAAAAGAGGCACTGCTCACACATGCTCACTGGATTTTGACGACAATTACTTACCAACTGCTATGTGTAATATTTCATTCCTCTTAGCTCAATTCTTATCAGTACTGCAACTGCAAGTCATTCCTGATATGATTGCGACTACTAATTGCACTCAACTTTCTCTCATGTACTAGGCTTGTGCACACGAATGGTTGAGTATTCGATTCGATTCTAATTTAAGCTATCAGATATTTTCGAAGTATTTGCAATAAACAAATAGGTGTATATTAATCTGCATGTAACCGCCTGTAAAGATGGTTTTACTGCAGTGTAGGAGTGCTGAGCTCGTGAAAGCATCTACTAAAGAGAAATTCGTTTTGCTACACCCTCCTTCAAATGAAAAGGGGCCCTGCAACACTTACTGAGCATGATCACAAAACTGCTGCCTATCGGTATTTGAGGCTACCAAGAACACGCGAGGCAAATACTATAGTGCAGCACAGGGTCTGTAATTCACAATAAATTTTCAAAGCTAAAAATTGCTTTCTTGTTTCGGCAAATGACACTACAAGCTCAAAAATCATTTGTCACAGCCAAGAAGGAATATACAGCTCTGGTCACAGTCATTGGCTGATTTTGAGCATGGCTCATTTGTCGTTACCGGGGCTGCCGTGGAAGGCTGCCACTTGTCCACGAGTATGTGCGCGATCACACATAAACCTGCGTATTCGAAAAAAACAAATAAGGTGCTCAAGTTACGAAGTGCGTCTGACGTAATTTCTTTCGCAGTGCCATTCCTCCCTGCTTAGCTTCCAGCTATTTTGTCGGGACTAGAAGAGAGAATGCAATTGCAGCGTGCGACAAATTTTTGGAACTCCGCTCGTACTGGACTGATTCAAGAAACTTTCTGGAATTCTATAATTCGCTTTGAACCTAAAGTTCTCTGTTCGCGCAAGCCTAGTCATTACGCATTACTATGAGAACATTGCAGGGCAGGAAACGTTAGCTGTTGACACTGATGAATATCTAATAGATAGGTTTGTGTGAATATTCGAATGCTTCGAATATTCGAATGAGTATCATTGTATCTGGATTTCGTTTGATTCAAATTTAAGTTTTCGAAAATTTCAAAGTATTCGAAATGAACTAGTAAGGGTATATTAGTTCATATGTAGCCCACCTGTGAAGGTGGTTTCATTGCGGTGGAGGGGTGCTGAGCTGTGAGAGCATGTGTCCAGGGAAAATCCAGACTGCCGCGAAATACTATTTTAAGTTTAAATGAACATTTTATCCTTACATCGATTCATCATTTTTCAAGTTTAGAGCTTGTCATACTGGCTAACATGGTCTAATAATGGTAAACTTTTAACATAACATATCTTACAGGTTATCACTTACATTATAACGAAAGCCAAATTCTAATACTACTCTAAGTTGCTTCACTTCCTTTAAAGCAACAAGAATGGCATTTGCACAGGACTTAATTTTGAATAAAACTATTGTGGAGGTTAGTTGGGTGATAAAAAAGTTGCTATTTTTCTTCATAATGTATTATATATACTATTTGAAAGTAATACGAAATTATTCGACCAAAAATCACTATTTGCTTCCGAATTTACTTAGAACCTAAAATTCACCATTTGTACGAGCCTACTTAGAGTACTTCAAGGGTATTGCAACCAACAGGAAAGCTCTGAATCACTTCCATAGTCAATCCTGTAAGTCTGTCTTTTAGGTAGTTGGATACTTGATTGCATACAGTTAGGATACTGAGTCCTACTGCGGAGTGTTCTGAGAATTTTATGTTACAAGAAACATGTTTCCCAGGTCCCTTGAGTGTCTCCTGAAACAACCCAGACAACAGAAACACACTCTTCAGTGCGTTTTTAAAACGTTTTCGGGAGGACGTCTGAACGTCCCAAGGACATGTTCAACTAGTCCGGATGGAGTCCGAGAAAGATTCTATTGTCCAGCCTCAGCTTGTTTTCTAAAGATCCACAAAAGGTTCACCAGAGCATTTCTGGCACTATTTCAGGATATATAGGGGACTGAAACATACTCAAATTGGTCCACCAGGACATTTTGCATACCAACTGTGCCCCTCATTAGGACATCTTTGGGACAATTTGCATACCAAATAAGTTACCCATAAGATATTTCTGGGACATTTTGCGCACCGACTACGCTACCCGCCAGGATAGGTTGTATGCTGAATTGCTGTATTTTACATTTTACTTTTATAAGAAGATGACGTTAGAGCATGGTTGTGTATTATTAGTATAGAAACGCACCAGTGGCGATGCCACTAGTGCGTTTCCACACCACAAAAGCGAATTCCACATCTGTTAGTCAGTCAAGGGACTAAACAGATGTAGAATTCGCTTTTTTGGATGTAACATAACCCAGTGCATTTTTTTATGTTTTACGTTTTTTTTCTTAGTTCTTGACATGTGTTTGTTTCGGTTGTGTGCCATCGATTGTGGGAGTGATTGTTTTGGTAGATTATTTTGGTATAGTCACGTTGTTGATGATTACAGGGGGAAGTTGGGAATGACGTACATGCGTGCGAGGTATTTATTAGTGTTCGCTACGAAATAAAATTTCAGTTGCCTGAGTCTGAGTGTGTGTAATTTCTAGCACTTGTTTCATCATGAACCTCTCTTTCTTGTTCCCCGTCAGCATGTTCCCACTGCTCTTCAAGGATGGGTTGGTCACTCCGTACTTTGCCCTCGTCGTGCTGAACCTGGTGTTCGTGTACCAGGCTTACTTAAAAGACGCTGCGAGGAGCGGTCATGTAACATTGCTGGTAAGTGTACTTGAATTCTTTAGAAGATACGAAAGAGGAATAAGAAAAAAAATTGCGTAATCTCAATTCTGAGCACAACTGTTTAAACGTTTTTATTTTCTGATAAGTTGAGCAAATACACATGCATCAAGGCAACGGGGCATGCCGCGAGCGCAAGTAGAGAATTTTGATAGACAACGTAGTTGCAAGTAGAGAACGTTGATAGGTATTACTATGTTCATGTAAAACTTTCATAGCAAATAAATGACGCAGTAGAAAAAGGGAGAACACATGCCTTTAAAATGTCCTGCAACACTTTTCCAAGTAGCCATAGCATGGATTCAGTAAAGGAGCTCGTTGATCATGAATTGGTCTGTGCAAATAAATGTTTTGAATTTGTCCAGTACGAGGGGATTCGCAAAGAACTGTCACACGGTGTAGTTGTTCTCTCTCTTCTTGGCCAGAAGAAATCACTGGAAGCTAAGCAGGGAGGAATGGCACAAGGAAACAAAGTACGGCACGTGCACTTCGTGACCTTGTCAACTTTTTTTCTCTTCGAACACAGGGCTTTTCAGTGCAGTAACGCGTGCATAAAAACATAGCAGCCAGCAACTTCCAAGCGCACCATACTCAAATTAGTCTATGATATTTTACATGGGTTTATGACGCTATGATTTTTTGTTATACTTATAATAAGAAACTGAGACAGTCAGAACTGTTATTTCAGACCAGGTAGGAGCATAGGCCTAGCCAGAGAGAGCAGAGACATTCTTCATTACATACTATAGAATCATTTGTTGAGAGAAGAGAAAGCAATTTTTAGCTGACTTTGAGAATTTATGGTAAATTCCGGGCCGCGCTATAATATTTGGCTTGTGTGTTCTCGGTAGCCTCAACTACCAATCGGCTGTGTTTCCTGACCATGCTTTTAAAAAGTGTTGGCCCCTGTAAGCACTCACTCCAAGTCTGAATTTCTATTTCAATTCAATTTAAATTTAAGTTCAAATGGACTCAAGAAACCAGATATCTACACACATCACATCACACATGTGAAAGAGTTACAAGACATTCACCCAAGGCCACGCAAGAAATCTTGGTGGCATATTATATCACAAAGGTCGCCACACCTTGTTTACACCTTGTTTCAGCCTACTAGTATATCTATTTCTGCACGACATGGAATTCAATTTCAGTAACCCATACTGAACGCATGCCTTGGGTGTGTGCCTTGCATCTCTTTGCAAAGCGTGTGATGCGCTGTTTCTATATATATGTGGTTTCTTCCTCTAATAGAGTTCCAGTTGTGAGAAGCACTTGTGTTGTGTTTCGCTTGTCCTGGAAACGTTTATTTTCGCTTAAAGTTTTATACTAACAGATTTGCAGAACACAGGAATTCTACCTTTGCGATTTCCTTACAGAAGCAATGCTTTGTCAAAAAGTAGATATGCGTAATTGCTGTTCTAATTGTACAGCCATCAGTACACTTGACACAAATTCTCCACAGCGTAGCTTAAACAATTTGATTTACGCTTGTTCCACGTAGCTTTGGGTTCTATTGCCCCAAGATGTTACCCATTTGTGATACCACACTATCCAAGCATACTGAGGTATTATTTCGGCAACAGGACCCAGGGCTTGGCGGCTGGCATCAGTCAAACCAGGCCACGTCATGTGGCAGGGAGTTCATGCTAATCGTGCTGATGACTGTACACTCAGCTAGGCACAACTGCTGTGTAGCTTGAATTGAAAAAAAAAATAAATAAAAACCAGTTATGCTGTATCAAAAATTTATGGACGATTAACCTCTTTCCCCCCTAATAGCGTAAATTGTTCTATGAATAATAAGGTTTTTATAATGCATAGATTTCAGTGTCGTACACGAAGAAACATTGCACCAGCAAGTGTACAAGTACAGCGTCTGCTTCCTCACTACATTTTTTTATCCTTCTCTTGCTTTCAGTTTGTGCTGTCACTCACGGGATGCATCGCACTCAACGCTCTTCACCTCACGATGCCGCCACCGGCCCGTTACCCAGACCTGCACCAGCTGCTCAATGCGGCTTACAGCTGTGGCCATTTTGTTCTGTTCCTCGTCTACACACACTACCTGCAGTTCCAGTTGCCAGCATCACGATTTACCAAGCTCAAGAAAAAGTAAGGCGCAACATTTCCTGTGCGGAGCCTACGTCACGACAAGAATGGGACATCAAGAGAGTTTGTTGCGCACTTCTTTGGCAAAAGGGTTGTACGATAGAAAAATCATCATTGCTGTTCCAAAATGACAAATTTACGGCGAACGTCATTTAGAGTGAGTGGCTGTGTACGATCCGTAACAAGATGTGACGGTGAGAATTCGACGCTTGCTTTGCACAATGTGCGTCGTGATGCCAAATTTCGAGGAGAGTGTGGCTGTTGCATTGAGGGTTGCTCACAGTTGTCTCAGTGTCTCAACATGACAAGACTGCGCAGCTACTTTTTTTCGCTGGGTTCTATTTTGTCTGTTGAATGTGGGCCATGGGTTTTCAGAAGAGGCATTTCACTTATAGCAGGCGCATAAGATAGTCTATAGGTTTTTTTTCTTCTTCATATTTATGCAGCTACAAGCAACATCTGCGAAGTGGTGCAATGTTTGAGCTAATTAAGCATCTTTGTGTGGTGTTGACATTTGGGAAAACGAACACTTGCTGTCATCAGTTTTCGTTTGTTAGGGTGGAGTAAACTGATGCACATCCTCTGCCACTGCCATCATACCCGGAATAAATACTAAAGAGACAAGGGATTTTTCTCATACTAGTAAATTACTCTTTAACCATGCCAAAGTCACCACGTTCACGTGGCAATCTGCTTGGTTAACGACAGATGACGCAAAAAGAAAATGCAAATGGTGACACCACTTTCAAGTTGCTGCATTAGTTGCCATGACTGTATAGATATTGACAGGGTTTGTTAGGGTCTACTTATTTATTAATCAGTAAAACTGAAGTACATTATCTTTGGAGCAAGGCAAAGAGTTAAAATAGCAAGTTTAGGGAAATTTCATTGAGTAAATGTGGCCAAAATAAGAAAAAAGGACACTTAGAAAACCGTGAAGTTACTATCAAAGATTTCAGCGTGACATTTTGAAGTGAAACTCTTGATGCTGATTTTATGATGTATTAATGAACCTATGATGGCAAAAGAGGCAACAGTATGGTTTGCAGAGTACAAGTATTTTACTGTCAAACTTTAGTGTCCCTTTAAGAATACACCACTTCCTACCAAAAAGTTACTTTTTGTAACATAAAAATTCAGTTTAATCTCGTTAAGTGGAACTTCATGATGCTGAAAAAATTGTTGTCATTAACAAGCATTTCTCTTACTGAGAAATACGTGAGGTACAACAGTGTCTATTGTACGCTGTCTCAGCATCATTAGGTATGAGCTCAACGAACTATATGTATCGGCTGATTTGTCTTGTGTCGTAGGAACCACAACATGTTAACACGTGTAACACACAACACATTAAGAAACGTTGCTTTTAATCTTCCGATCGGTGGCCGAGTAACATGCCGTTGTTTTGCAGTATAGTCTTTGTGACAGTTCATTAGAGTGGCTTCTTTAGTGGAAACAAACGTCGTGGGAACAAATTTCGTATCATTCATTGCTTGAAAAAAGAAAAGCAATTCAAAAATCATTCAGCACTTGCTTTAGCGGTTTCATCTGAGCGATGTTCCGTTTTCCGAGATTCTACTGCATTGCGTCTTATTAATCTTAACAGGGATTTTTGAAGGGCACTGTAAACCGAAGGGTACGAGTCGTACAGATTTCTTGGAAGTTTTTGTCACAGTTTATTAGACATTGACATCTTGATTGAAAACAAACATTGTGAAAACATATTTTATATTGTTCCTCTCTTAAAAAAAAAAACAATTGAAAAATCGTTCAGCACTTGCTTATGTGGGTGCACATGAGCGATTCCCCATTTTCCAAGATTCTACTGTTTTAATCTTAAACGTACGAGTCATATATTCAGAGTTCCTTGGAAGTTTTTGATGCAGTGCCTTGATCGATGTTGCTAGTCAGACACCTCAGTGTGTATTAAGAGCTTTTAGGTACTACAGAACATAAGACTGGACTTGACTGGACTTGACTGGCATTCAGCTGTGCTGCACGCTTTTTAGTCATGCAAGACGATCTTGCTCATCAGCATAGTTGTGTTCGGGAATGTTGCATGCTGGCTCCATTTGTGTGCACTTGAGTGCTTAACGCAAGGCAACATGCCTTCTATATGTGTTGTGAGCCATGATAGGCTAGTGTTTGAAAAAATGTTTGTTAATCCCTTGTTTAGAAAAAAATTTGTGATTGTTTTTCAAGCGTACAACTTACTAGTTCAGGTTTAAAGTTTCTGTTTTCTGCCCTTGCTTTAAAGAAAAATTGTGATTATGTTTTAAGGGGTACTGACACAAAATTTGACGGTCCCAAATAGCCTGTCGCGGTCGGTTCCTGTCAGCATTTGCATATCATCTGTAAATATATCAAAAGTGAATATAGCTTGGAAGGTATTTTAAATAATTTTTAAGGTGTGCGAAGCCCTCGATTACATCATGCCATTGACACCCTCGAAGGGGACCCTTTGGGACCCCCTACTTCGCCTCATTGTCACCACAGATGCAGTCAATAAAACAAGTTATGACGTCATGGCCGCCATTTTTTTTTTTTTTTTGCCGCATTGGTTCCTGCAGTTTATACTTCTTGGCGGCTGGTCGCAAGTGCGTAGCCTTGTCGCACGCTTTGAAAGTTTTGTGTCTGGCGACACTGTAGTCCCGTTTCCTATTCGAAAGTAATCTTTGATGCGGACTGTGCGGAAGTATGTCACAGTTCCGTGTGCTGAAGTGGTCGAGAGCTGCACACGCTACATGGCGATTGTTGCACCCGGCGGCTTCTTGTTCTTGGAGCTCTCTCTAATCGAAACTGAAAATGGTCCGTAATGAGGCGCCTGTAATTAATTATCTATCATGTGCTGCAGCAAACAATGTGTCGTGTTAGGACTAACAGGCTTCCAGCAACACGTTACAGTAGAAAAACGTGAGACCAATGTTTTTGTGTCAGTACTCCCTTGAGGGCATGACTTACAAGTTAGTTTAAAAATTTTTTTTCAGCCCTTGTTTAGAAAAAATTTATTATTATGATTTAAGGGCACTACTTACAAGTTCAAACATATTTTTGTTGTGCCTGCTCACATGCAACTCATGTTCTTGTGCCAAGTGTTATTGTGCATTGTCGTAATGTTTTATCGATCTCAACTGATTTAAACAGCTTTTTCAGAGTGTAAGGTCACTCTTGGCAGTTAAAACTTTTAATCTGGTTGTCATAAATTCGTCTGCGTTTAGTGTCTGTGTGGCTTCACTGCTATATTTAATACTGTAATGCTTTTTAATGTGCTACGCATTCATACCTTGTTCTATGCAAGTGAACATATGAAGTGTTCATCTTGATGCGAAAATTCTCAATAAATTTTCATGCAGGTTGGTAAGAACCTCGAGTTTTCTTCTTCCTATCTCAGTAATTGTTTATATTACATCAGTATAGTTGGCAATTTTTTCAATCATGGATGCGATATAACATATGGTTATTAAAGGTGCAGTGTTGACGTGATGTTAATTACACACAACGTGGACCCTCTACAGGACTCTTTTTTTCAAATTGTTTTTACCGTATATGCTGTGCGTGAGGGATTACTAAAACGCATAGAGTTTCATACAATAATACCTAGAGGGGAATCTGGAGCTAGTGTTTACGCGGGCTCCTTCAGCGGCGCTTGTACTCCCATGAGAATTATAGGAAGTACAGGCTTCGGATCTGCTTCAGATGGATCGCGTTCTTGAGATTCGTAAAGCTTGTTTGCCAAGTATAAAACAAAGTGATACGAAATTATATCCAATTGATACTTGCTTTATTATTTTGTACGTAAACTTTATCGCCAAAGGTTTCTGTAATCATGAGGTAGAAGTGAAACCTGGAGATGTTTAACCATCAGGGTGTGCATCGCTCTGGCATTGTGTTCCAGATTTGGCATAAAGATATAGTAAATATGTTTACAGCACTTGACAATGAACATGCTTGTTTTTCACTTGGAAGTACGCCTTATCTATTTATAGAAAATACAGTGCAGTATCAAGTGAAAAACAATTAACGTTTGTCTGCTGCAATGCCAGGTGCATCTGTCCAAGTGATCTGCTCCCAGCGCACAGCCTCGTTTTGTTTTGAAGTGGAGACGGAGGAGCATCACGGTGCGTCCGTTTAGCTTCGCCGTCGTATTGCAGTTGATTCGAACGAGTTTAGGCAAGATGCGCTTGTGAAAAAAACCTGAACTTGATGCAATATCCTGCACAAGCATGAGACGCTACATCTATGTGCAGCGGTGAGTGGACGACGCTTCGTTTAACGGGGTGAAATACGGCTCGTAAAGCTCCAACGTCGCAGCAGAATCAGGAGATGTAGTGGTCTTCAGCCTTTTCGAACAGCAAAGGCACTGTTTTGGCCCTTTTCACCACCTCCACTACCAGCACTGCACAAAGAACGAAACTGAAACTGTAGAAAAAGATGTGTAGACAGTTCGCTAGCTAACGCTATTCAATCTGAAGCCTGTACTTCCCATAATTCCCATGGGGGTACACGATCACAGCGCCAGATTCCTCTCTAGGTGTTATTGTATGAAACTCTATGCTGGAATGTAACTACTTTTTTTGCTGCATGTTGCACATATGCCTGCTTTTGATAAAAAGTCCTTATCTTTGTGTACCCACTATCAAGAGGTACCAGCACAAAAATAATAACAGCACTGTTTTTAAAAGCTAATGCCAGTCCCTACCTGCACCCTGAAGGTCACTCCACCGTATGCGCTTCTTGTCACGTACTTGTGCAAAGTATTGTGACATTTCTACGGCTGCTCTGCCTCGTGACTTCAACAGTGACGCACAAGTGGCCATTTTGAAAGCTTTGATACCTAATATCGTCACAGCTAGCCAGATTGCTGTGTGAAGTTACCAGAATGAGTACTGTAGGCCCGACGTCAAGCCAGTGTCGATGTCAGCAGGTGCGCCACGGGAAAATTGACATTTATATAAAAAGACATTGGGGGAGCCTTAAGCTTCGCCTGTAACAGTGTACCGTAATAGCAATATCCTGCTTGTAGTGCGTACTTCAAACACTTAGTGCATGAAATATTTTCGAACTTGCTCTGCAGCCACAAAGTGGCCATAAGGGAATAGGTGCAGTAACGTATGTGCCTTCTGTAGTGGGTGATCAGCTTAAAACCATTAAGTCATTATAATAATGGCATGTTGTGACGCCCAATGACAATGTACGCTTGTACCCCTGCATTATCACTGCAATATTTCATGTTTTATTGCGAAGCATGTATACAGGGTGTGTGTGTTTCTAAAGCAGAGAAGTTACTTTCACTGCATTTCCAAGCAGAGGAAGTTGTTTTCACTGCATTCACAAGCAGGCGCTTGGCTGTGTGGTAGAACAGCCGCTTGCCATGCAAACGACCAGGGTTTGATCCCCCCACGGACCCAGAACTTTCTTTTATTTGCATCTTTCTCGATTTTTTAAACACCCACAAAATGACGATTTTTCGCTAACAACCAACCATGCCGGCACCAGGATTTCTGCAAAATGAGCTAATGCTATCGTGTTAACAATATGCACTCATAGCTTATTATAAGGAAGTCACACCTGTCATGGACTTTGTTATATCCGGAAATGCTTTATAACCATAGATTCATAATACTGTAAACAAAACTATTCTTCACTTCGTTATAACCGATAATTCGTTATATCTGTGGTCATTATGTGGAGGTGTAAGTGTATCTTGGCATTTTCTGAGCTGTACACTTGCTCAGAGCCATCTCTCTATACAGAAATTTGTACAAAGGAGTAATTTCGCTTTCAAGAGATGGTCCCAGTGCCTCTTTAAATCTTTTTCTTTCACTTATCGATGTGAGCATGTTGTCAGGTGGGGATCGGAATGTTCAACATTCCGGCACGGGTTTGCGCAAGGCAGACTTGCAACAGGTCGGTTGCATGACAGTAGAAAACGAATTGCATGTGGCAACACAGTTTGCAACTGCTGACCAAGAGATTTCACTTATAGAGCGCGAAAATTCCTGCAGTGCTTAATAAATATACAGTTCAAACTTTCTTTGCTGTAGTATTGGAAGAAAAGCTTTTTTTTTTTTTTCGTGTCGCGTATTCTCATCTGTGTGAATTGCGTAAACAAAGCCACCCACCACATTGGCTCTAGTCTACTGCTCCAAGGATTCAGGTCATGTGTTGAAAACCCATTTCGGCAGAATGTGAGAACATTCATCATGACTTCATAACAAAAAAAGATGCGGACAGCAGAGAAGAAGACACAACTAGTGCAATCTTTCAACTAAATTTGTTGTGCCACTGCATCTATTTACATTCAAACCTCGATATAATGAAACCAGATATAATGAAATATTAGTTATAATAAAGTAAGAGAAAAATAGTTTAGCAATGAATATATTGTTAGGAATAAACTTTTACAACGAATTTTCGGATATAACAAACTTATTTTTATGTAAGATGCATCTTCGTTATAATGAGGTTTGAATGTATATATTGACATATACATCACACATGCACAAACATGACGCATTAGCGATTGCTCATGCATATACATTAAGGTCACTGAAGTCACCGAGGCTGAGGTGTAGTGAAATCTGACCATAAGTTTGTTATTTCACCTTCACTGAAGCAAGACTACAAACCATTAAAGTTACACATAACTATCCAGCAACTCAACTTCTTAGTACTATAGTAAAACAGGAGGCATGCTGCTGCACTTGTCATTCTGCTGCCTTATGAAAAAAAAAAAACTGATTTCTCTTACTCTTTTCTCTTTACACTTGTTCATGATGCCCACCCAGTCAAACTGCACTACGCTACCGTAGCTTCTACAATGCAAATCTTTCTGCTGCCTTCCTTCATGCTAGCAAGGTACACTACCCAATCAACGATATGCACCTACTAGCCCGCAAAAAGGTCCTACTGTAATAAGCTCTGAACTTTAGGGCGCTTTTGACATTAGAGACTGCTTAAACCATTGCCTGGTACCACAGCTGCCACACCTCTGCACAGCAGATCACGCCTCCCAGCACTTGTGCTCTGGCAGCTCGAGGTTGTTGGGATGACGTGATGAATGACCTTGAGAAGCATGTAGTGAAGCTCTCACTCTAAAGAAAAGTTCTTGCTGAGGTTTGCATTGCCTTTACAGCAGACAGTGGAAGACTAACACATTCTAGCTCTGAAACACTGCCGATTCCCATCGTACCTGTAGTGTAGAGTGGTGCAAGCATGAACATTTAAAACAGTAAACTCCATGTTTGATTGCATAGTTTATCAAAAACAAGAAAGCACGAAGAATAGGGAGGTGGCTATTTTACACTCGACATATATGCAAGGATAAAAATTCGCACTTTCGAACCAATTACAGCGTCAATACATCATAGCAGTGCACAGACTGCCTACGAGATAAGTAACTCGTGGAGGGTGTAGCTCATCACGTGGTCTATATCAATGTACCAATCACATAGTTTAGTTAAATAATGCAAGCTATAACCAATATTCAAACATTTGGCATCCATGAGTAATTCTAACTGCTTAGAATGCCACCGTACATTAGATGATTCATGTAGGGCATGGATGATCACATTGTATATATATTGATATGCACCTCATTGGTAAGCAGTAAGCAATATCTCTACATTTGGTATGCATAACTTTAAGTGTTCATAACTGAAGAAGACAGGCAGATTGCACAAGTTGGTGCGATTCTGTGATAAAGATATCAAACAGCTCTTAAACACGGGAAGGAACACACACACTTCCTTCTTCATCCAGTGTGTAAGTGCAGTGTCATATTTTTCTCATGTCTCATGTTCATAACTGCCAGTATGGGTTAACTGTCTTATGCGTGGGGCAAGGCTGTAAGGTTTTTATATTGATGTGTGCATCATATAAAAAAACTAGTTTGAGCAATGAATGCGATGACAACTAACTGAAATGTCCCACAAACTAAGGCTACCAGCTAGCTCTTTTGAAGTGTGTCATTGGTCTGTGTTTGCAACTGCCATTAAATATAGGCCATTCATTAACCCATCCTTCCGAGCTTTGCCCGCGAGTGTGGAATAACGCAAGCATTCATATTGCAGCTATATCAAGCATCTAATTTTTGAAATTCATACTGTTAAAGGCTGTTATGTGGCAAACATAATTTGAATTACAATAGATATCATTACTTGTAATGCCATTTATTTGCTATTCAACGAAAAATAATCCAAGTCAAATTAACACTTCCATTCGAAGTTCACAGAGACTGCAGAGACTGAACTCATTAGCATTCATTTTGGGACAAAATGTGAATTCTGGATGCGAGGTCATACAAAAAATTCACTAATGACCAGTGTTCTCCATATCTATGCATTTTAAAAAGTATTCTCA